CACCTACCCCTCCCTCCACTCTCAAATCTCTCTGACCATCATCCCCAACTCTTCCGGCTGATTACTCCTAATGTAATTTTAATTAAAAACTGTGGTGTCAAAGGGTTTAGCCTGCCTGAGAAGCGGGTGCAGATTGTGGCACAGTGGCAGACCCCTTCACTTGCATGAGAGGAAATGCATCCTGACATTGCCTGGGTGGTGCCAACACGACCAGAGCCAGGTTCAGCAAAAAGGCTCCAGGCCCATGTAGATAAAACAGTATAACTTTATTTTGGGTGATCCCAAAGATGTCAGTACCTGGATGACTTGTTATTGAATCAGGAGAAGAGCAAAAGACATCTTGATTTCCTTCATCCTTATCTGTGTCATATCAGGTGAAGGTAAAAAGCTGAGGTACATCAGGATAATACAGGTAAAAGTCAATTATTCTTCATTAAAAATCACCGCAGTCCAAAAACCACCAGAAGCCATCAAATTGCGGCTCACTTTTAACTAAAAAATACTCACAGTTGACATTAAAGGTAATCCCCTCTGCCAAATTTCACAGAGGTGACCTGCAAAGGTGCCCCACAGCAGGACTCAACAGCAGAGGTCTGCCTGTAGGTTTGTAATCCCCTCACCCGAGTCGTTGGATTATCTGCTCTCCATCGACCCTGAAGAGGCTCCCTGTGTATTGGGCTTAAACACTCTCAGAAGTCTCATCTCCACACCCCATCTGCCAGCCGTACGACATCTTGGAAGACACAGAGGAGTAGGGACTTCAGGCATCAGTAGGAATCTTCTATGTGTAGGACAGAGACTTTCAGAAAAATGCAGTTTAATTTAGGTAGTAGGACCATATTTACATAAAGCTTGATCAATATTTGAACTGTCCTCTGCAAAAGTTTCAGTCCCAGTACTTGTTGCAATAAAGGCCCGATCAAGTTTGGTGCCTGTTTCTTTTTCTTCCACTTTTATCATTGCTTTCATAGACTTCTCTTTACTGCATTTACATAAAGATCATACATAAATGATCCATCAATGACAATAGCTCTCGTGCATCAATAATGCAATAGGTGTCAGTGTCAGTGACCCTTTAACATTCTCTGACAGGGACCATGTTTTGAGGCTGTCAGTGGACATTTGGGGGAGCTGGTGGTTGGCCCGGAGCACTGAGGCATGTTGTAAGAGGGTTTAACTTTGCTAACCTCCTTCTGCCAGGTTCATGGGGTCCTGCTGCTTGGGTAATATTGGATCAGTGTTGGGAGCCCATGCCCCTGCCATATCAACCAGCACGCCACCTGAGGGAGTGAGCACTTTCCATTCTGGGGCCAACTGGGTTTGATGCATGCTTCTTCCCTCTCGTCTTTACACTCTGAGATGATTTTTTCCCCCTGTAACACTACCTTCACTATATACATTTCCTTCCTTACTTTTCTATGATGAGAATTTACACATGCAAATGCTCTGAGTGCAATGATTTGTCTTTAAAAGCTTGACCTTTCAAAATAAAACAACCAAACACATTTTTTTCATTATCAGATAGCTCTTTGACAACTGTTCTTTGCCATCTTGCTGTAAACTTAATGAAATTCTAAGCTGGTTCAAACTTAAAATCAATAAATATTTAAACCTTTTTTGTCTTTATTTATGAACACTTTTGTGAGACATGTAGACATGCACATATAGGAGGAGTAGGTTTTTTTTCCTTGATGGACAAGATACGGGTTTATGTGATGGGCAACACTGTCACAGAATCTAACAGGTTCCAATGAGAGAAGCAAGCAGGCTGAAAAAAAATCATTGCCAGGTACAAAAAGTATTTCGTAAAAAAAGAATATTTGATTTGAGAAGACTTCAGAAATGAAGCTGCTATTTTTGTTTATGAATAATATGAGCATAACGTTATTTTTTTAACTTTTATAGAAAAGCAATGATTATCTTCTGTTATCTAAAGTTATCCTTATGTATAATTATGCCATTTTGGCCTAACAACTGCTTTTATATTGATGTGTTTGCATTTTCTGCTCGCTGCCTGTTTGTTTCCCGATTAATTTTTAATGACTAGAAAAATTGTCCTATGGTCTGATTTTCTTTGTGGTCAAAATCACACGCTATGATTTTCATGTTCATGTTGTCAAATTGACTCTTCTCACTGAGGCAAAATTGTCAGGCCCTGATCAAGATTTTTATTTCTCTCATTTTATATATTAAAAAAAAACATTTCTGGTAGAATGAATTTAGCCAAGTGACCATAAGATGCATTTTATAATTTCATAGACATACATCTAAGTTGCAAGCTGAAACAAATCAACTCAAGCTGATATTATTTATACTATTAAAAAGACAGAAAAACACCTATTTTCTCTGATTTGGTTTAGAGCTTGTGCAATCACTGGCATAAGCTCCATTTAGCCTGTTGTGAAAATTTGGCGAGTGCTGCAGTTTGTAGAGAGCTGCCGTTAATAAAAACTTGCAGATGCCCACCTGGTATAAGGGGGTGGAAAACAAAGGCGTGGAATATGATGTCTGAGTGTGTCTCAGGTCAACAGAACAAAAGAAACACACAAAAAAGGAAAAAAAAAAGAAAAAGAAAAAAAAAGTGCAATGCACAAATATCATGACTTGTGGTTTTGTTGGTATGTTTTCTACTTGTAGGTATCGCTTTTGTTTCTTTCAGGTCTTTGATACGCTGATGAAAGAATGTTCTTCTCTTCAAAGGAAGTGGCAGCTGTAAGGTCAGGCAACCGTGAGAACTTAAACAAGAGAGCAAGACATTCACGCTATCCCCCCTGCCTATGGTGTGTGTGGGTGCAAGTTGTGAAGGCGCACTGGGTGTGTATGTGTGGTTTGGATGTGGAGCGTGCGCCTGCCTCTTAGCTCAGACGATGTAAGTGTGAATCTTGTCCTTTGTTCCAAGGTGTGCAAGTGTCTGAGACACCCTGTGACAGGTGGACTCTCACTTCATGCGATCCAGACAGATGATCCTTCTCACAACTGACTGTGGTCACTGGTCACACTCACTGAGCATTTCATGTGTGTGGTTTAGGGTTACAGACATGGTTGGATGATGATACACTTCTCAATCTCTCCGTATCTAGTCCACTCTTGTCAGCTAATCCAAGAAACAGTTTTCTTACATATGTGACTAGAAAGAATGTGGGTGACTTATGTAAAGCCGCTCTAGTATCACTCACAGCAGATGATGATATGCAGATCAGGATTTTACGACTGTAATGTTTCTTTTAAGGCAGTGGTCAATTGATCTCACTCTGGGATCCACATTTTCCCATGGTCCTTAAGTCACGACTCACTTTTATAGAATTCAAACCAAGCAAATTAATTTTATATATACAGTATGTATATATAAAAAAACTTTAAAGACTCTAATCTTTAACATAAATCCACTTGTTTTATGGAGTAAAGCACATTTCAGAGCACATGAAGGGGACAACATGAGGATGACAACTACTGAAGTTGAATGTACATAAAAAATGGAATATCTAATGAATTTACTTTTTTGACCAGCTGTTTGTGACCCATCCAGAACGTGTCTGTGACCCACTTTTTGGGCGGGACCCACCAGTTGGGAACCACTATAATATACTTTTTAGATCAGTGGCGGCTGCTGGTCTTTCAAGGAGGGGAAGCTCATTTTTCTGGCCTACATCATAATTGTATTTGTTTATTAGTATGTAACAGAACAGAGTCGCCAAACACAACGGCAGTCATTTTTAACAAAGACAAGAGTCGCTGAGGATCGGTAAGGTCTCCGGAGCAGTTAAGAACAACGGAATGAATAACTTGGAAAATGCTCTGGTAGATGTTTTATTCTTCAAGATCGCTGATTCGCTTGTTTAGCTGTCAATCAAAAAAGGATTTCGCCTCAGAAAAGCTCATCCAATCATGGATGCAGAAGCTTGGAGTCCGGGAGAAAGTCGGGACCGCCCTCTCGCCATAGAACTCCAGTGAAGCTGGGCTTCCGATGGGCGGGACAAAGCCCAGCATTTATCCAATGAGCGTCTAGTTTCGCTGCTGGAACAACCCACTTTAAGATTCCACATTGAAGTCAGCAGAAGCCCAGCGTCCGGTGTTATGCCAATGCATCCCTGCCGTAGAATGCACCCCCTGCCTCCAATCCACTCATTCGCTTCTTAAAGTGAAAGAAAATGATCTCATATTTAAAAACACAAATATCGGATCATGACAACATGTCAAATGGAGCAGCAAACTTTCGTTCTGTTTTTATATCTCAGATATGCATACATAGAGATGTACAGTAAGCTGTCACGGTAGAGAACATTACATATTCGGGGACAGCAAATATTCCCAATCAGAGGGCTATTGTTTTTCGGCTAATCATTACAGGCATACGCTTTTGAATCCATCCAATGGTAAGGAAAACGCGAATTATTTCGCCTTGTTATGTACTTTCAACCGCGCTTCCGTCAGGGGGTGCATTCTACGGCAGGGGTGCATTCTTCGGCATAACACCGGCTGTTTAAAGCGCTGAGGCGCTGCGAGGATGAATGAGAACGAAGTTATGCCGGTTACCTGTGATTATCAGCTTCTTATCACAGTGTCTGAACAAAAGATGAAGGCTTTCTAGTGCGTATAAATGTACACACAGCAGTACGTATTTCACCACTTTTTCTTTTTTTTGAGGGGTGACATTTTAAGGGAAGCCGAGCTTCCCTTGCAGTCTTAGAGCAATCGCCACTGTTTTAGATGTACGTTCCTCTTCTTTTTCCTATTGTTAGCACATAGAGTTGGTGTTGGTCTCTGGCTCAGTAGTCGTGGTAAGAAGTTGCAGCTGTCCTACATACTCGAACACAGTTGTTGATAAATAAAAAAAAAAGTGTGTCTAATATCATGGGTCTCTTGTAAATTTACAGAGTTCTTCATTCGCCCCACTCCCCCTCTTTCTCACTGACTCATCTCATAAGAGTTATACGTTGTAGGGTTTGCTGAATTCATGTGGGACGTTTCAGGTGATGAACAGCGTGTCAGTTCAACGGGTTGTTTATGAATGTCTCTGGGACTTGTAGTTTATGGTGCCACGTAACGACGTCAGCGGAAGTGTATTGACGTTGCGTGAGCTAGCCAGCTAGGTCACATTGGTTGTGTTTTGTAAGTTTTGAAAATCATGGCAACAATGGAGGCAGCTAATACAGGTATTTTATCATTATTCCCACTGTCTTAAATGCGTGATTGTTTTCATGAAATAACGGCAATAATTCACGGTACAACCGGGTTTATTGGGACACGATTATTTAGAACAGGCTTCTCACTCAATGTTGTTTTCTCGTGTGGCTAACATTAGCCTGCTAAGTAACCTCAGTTGACTTACGCTATCTAAGGCAAACGTAAAAGATCCTTGATATGCCCACTGAATTTGGCCATTACCCTGAGCAATGGTATAAAATACTGTGTTATGCACGTGGCAGTCGGAGGTTTTAACATGTGACCCAAAAGAAAAACAAATGTTGTATATTGATGATGCTGACTTTATGGGTTTATGTCTGCCTCACCTGAGTATTCGTCCTCCTTTTGCCCTGCTTCTTTAGAGGAGGTCCAGTTAAGGCATGTGGAGAAAGATGTCCTTATCCCAAAGATGATGAGGGAGAAGGCAAAGGAGCGCTGCGCCGAAAAAGTTGAAGGTGTGTTTGTGTGACTGATGATATTGCAGAGGTTTGCTACCCTTCACTTCGAGAGTTAAACATTTTTCAAAAAAAAATTTCATTAATTAGAAACACAATATAAAAGCCAGTCCTTGAATAGGTTTTGCTGGTACCACTAACACGAGATATTTGAATGCATTCACTTTACACATGAAGCTTTATTAAAATGTACCTGCCACTACACCCCATCTCAGATTATGCACAGGTGTGTTTGATCATCCTAAAATAACAGCAATCCTCTCTTTTACACTCAAGGTTTACTTGAACTGTTAATAAGAATGGAGCTGTCATCAATAAATATGTTAACACCAGTTTGTTTCACACAATTTAAATCAAATGTCCCCTGTCAGACTATTCCTGTTTCCAAATCATTAGTAACACCTTACAGATAAAAAACAAAACAAAAACAAATGAACATCATCGGAACTTAATCACAGTTAAGTTTAATGGGCATCTCTCTAGTATACACTGAACTTTTTACAAATATCTAAAATTACAACCTGTACAATTGTATGATCTGTCATTGGGCTGTTCTTTTTTGCGCATTATTTTAGTCAGTTTTTCAGGGAAACATTGGCAGCTGGGCACATCCAGTGTATACTGGTTCAAAGCACCATTCATAATTGTCTTGTGACTCTTTATTTTAAACCTTGAAAAACCATCTAATAATAAACCATCTTGATCAATACATTGGTTTACATAATGACCCATGTTGTTGACCCATGTTATTTTTGTCCATTTTCACATCTTGGATATAATTTGGATATAGATTAATTAATGTATTCACCGTTGTGCTTTAGGCTATTATTTGAGAAAACCAATATGCACTCTGAATGATATTCCCTCTTAAGCAGCCACATTAGGGCTACCCTATTTTGGTAAAAATGGACATTATAATAGATTTTCATTCTGCAATGCTCATTGCATTGTGAGAAGAAAACTCTGAAAATCAAACAACATACATGTAGCATGGTTTTATGTACAAAATTTCAGCATTGTCGACAGCTGGCTGAAGCTTCACCTGATGGCATTAAAATGGTGTAAAAGTAAAGCCATAATAACCAGACCCCCATCTAACTGGTAAAATGTCCATGAGTGAATTTACATTGACTTATGTACAGTGTTTATTAGTGATAAATCATTGAATTTAAACATGAAAAATACCTGAATTGGTTCACTAGAGTAAGATGTTGTGATACTGTATGGTTACCATAAAAGCTCATTTTATGATAACAATTGCATAGTATGTTCCAAAAAGAACCCTTAAAACCATTAGTGTTATTTACAGTTTAACTTTTCTTTAAACTTACGCGGTCAAATATGCGTGCAAACAGATTAAATTACATATAATAGTCCAGTCATCCTTTTAGCTGATTATTTTTGATATCACAACTAACTTTAATGAAATGTAATTATTATGCATGCATTATGATTAAAGGGGCTGTTCTAAAAGAACAGGACTCCCTGCCGTCATGAGTGTTGACCTTACACAGACGTATGAAAATTTCCTCTTCTGTTGATAACACATGATAAAGTTTCTCGTTTCTTTCAGAAGATTGAAAGATTGTTTGGACATTCATAAGCCTTGAAACGGGACGAGTTAAAAAGTACCTCATCAATTTGTCATCACTTGAAATATTTGAATGATGTTTTTGTAGATATAGAGCCTTGATATGTTTTGACCACACCTGCCATCAAAGTACTTCGGCCTATTCGTGTGGAAATGTGTGTGGCCACCATTAAAACAACAGCAACAACAACAACAACTGAGTAACTGTGCAGGTTTATCTAATTTTTCTCAAAACACAACATATGCAAGCTTGTACCTACCTTGACTTCATTCTAGGTATCATTACATCTAAAAAAAAAAAGAGGCCCTTTAAGCCCATTTTTAGTCATTTACTAGGCTAGTTGGCATGACACCAGATGCCCCTTTGTATGCATGGAAACAGTGGCTGCAGCTTTGCAAACATGTATCCTGTGTACTGCAGCAACACATAAGCTAGATGACTTGTTTTTTTGTGGTTTCTTGAAATCTGATGACAGCCTGTTTCAGCCAGTGTGTGCTGCTCACACCGAGAGACGCCGCACATGCAGCCTGAGGTGATGGGACAGACAGTAGCTGTGTGGGCTTGTGGAAACCCCCTCTCACCTTACAAGTTTCTCAGCCCACTTGTTTTCACACCTCCGCACTTGCCCTCCATCATTTCATTCTTTATGTTTTTGTCTGCACTAGGCCCAGCGTATGCGTCTATGATTCTCTTCTGTGAAAGAAAAATCTATGTGCGAGTTTTCCTGTGTTATCTTGTTTATTGCTCCCTTTGTTGTCGAAGAGCACAAGTACCAGTAACCTGTACAAATGTCCTCAAGACCTACCTATGTGAACAGTGCACACTCAACAAAGAACTGTTTCTCGAGGTGTTTGAAGTCCTCTAAATAAAGGAGCAGGCCAACAAGCATGGCACCAGTTTGATCTCGTGTACAGAAACAGTGGCTGCTTTGTACAACACAAGCTTTTCTCTTACATCTGCTGTTTGTGGAGCCGCACTCTTCGAGACAACCTTCTGCAGCCTCCATTAGCGCCATGGGACAGAGATGAGGCATTTGCTGATTAGATTAGTCGCACTGTTCTGCCTCTCTAAATTGGTTTTGCCGTTGTTATTTTTTGCATCTGCATTCTGATGAAAGTGTCTGTGTGATAACCATACTGATGCCACTGATAAAGGTAATTATGATATCAGTTGTTGAAAGCGGCAGTTTTTAATTGAGTCTTTTAGAAGGAGCTTGCTAACAAGGTGAAGACTCAAAGTCTTCAGCACCTTGTTGTCACTGAAGACCTTGGACGTTTAATCTGGGAAACACTGGTAGCCAGGGCGCAGTGTCAGAGAAGAAAGAAGTGCAACATGTTAAACGCCAATCAGCCATAATATAATTACCACCTACTGAATAATTGTGTAGACCCTCCTTACACCAGCTCAGAGCCAAAACAACATGATCCAGTGAGACAGGTCCAACCATGTCCACTTCCTCCAGGCTAGCTTCCTTGGTTCCTCTGAGGTCTAGATGTTGTGCTTGCATGTTTGTGGGCGTCCACAACAGTCTGCAGTCATGCAGCCCTGTTAGCAACAAACTGGGATGCTCTGACTGTTCTTACTTTGGCCCCCAGGGCAGGGACCTGTTTTCCTTCCTTGCACCACTTCAGATGGTACTGGCCTCTGCAGACCAGGAACACCAAACAAGAGCTGCAGTTTTGGAGATGTAGCCTGGCTGGGCCATCCAGTTGCGTGAATCACTTGCTGTTCCTTCCCACAACAGTCTGGACTTCAGCCAATTGGGAACCCTAAAAGTGGGCGGGAGTACTTTCCTTGATAGACAGACTACTGTAACCAATCACCATAACCAAACATCTGATGTCATCACAGTGCGCAACTGTGTTCCCTGCTGGGCTCTTAAGCATCAAGTGAAGGTTTGGTAATATTTCAACGTGTGCGAGCAAACAATGTCTTTTACGTCTTTTTCTGTGGATATAAACGATTTCTGCCGACTTTGCAAAGTCAACTGCAGAATTTACGGCGTTCTTAATGAACGGGGCTTTGAAAAGTCCTGCAGCATGTGCTAGACGTCACCATCTACACATGGACCATCAGGGGCTGCCTTTCCCTGTTGTCCGGGTAACAGTGGAAACACGGTCTCTGATTGGCCCGGTTATTTTCTGATTTCTAATACATGCTCCCAATTGGCCGAAGTCCAAACTGTTGTGGGAAGGAATGGCAAGTGATTCACGCAACTGGATGGCCCAGCCAGGCTATTGGCGATGTGCCCATTTTTCCTTCAAGGACAAAATGTTACAAGCTGCCCAAATATTGTTGTTGATAATCAACGGCACTTCACATGTTAAATACCCCAAAGAGGGACCTTTGTTTGAACTTTCAACTTCAACCTTATTTCATTTATATGGCACTTTTCCTACAAAGCTGTAACACAAAGTGCCTTACAAAGCATAAAAAGAAAATGAAACATTAAAATCCCCAAGAAAACCCCAAACCTCCCACCCGCACAATTATACCCATACACACACCCGTGCACATAGACATACATTCCCACACACACAACTTTACATACACACGCACCTACACACTTAGCAGCTGATGGTGAGGAGACATGACTGGGCACTGAGATCTGAGGTGAGGTAGACGCTAACTTTGGGGGCCACGTCGACCGGGAGGCATCCTGGCCCATTGCTGCAGGGGGCGCCGTCACAGGGACCACCAGCCCGGGCAGACAGGAGGCTCCACACCAAGGTGTAGAGCTCTCTGGTTCCACCCGGGCCAGAGCTGTCCCCAGAGCGGCGTCCCCACCAACAGACCAGAACCCGCTCCCGGTGAAGCAGCCCCCAGGAGGAAACACTGAACACTGTTAAGTCAAAATCTTTTGGACAAAAACCTCAAAGGATAGCTAGCCCAAGTTGTGCTACAAGTTGTAGGGACAGTATTGCGGTGGTCTTGACTGTGAGGCGCTGTAGCCTGCTAGTTACAGAAAAGTGAGGTTGGTGGGCAGCAATGTGGAACTTCAAGTTGCAAGCTTCAGGCCAATTTTTCAATCCAGTGCATCCTGGGAATGGTCTACCAGTGCTCCTATAGCTGGTTACACCAATGGTTCTCAGGTTAAAGCAAAGAGGACATGGTCATAGCCTTTCTAAATGGTTAGCGTACAAATGTGAACTAATTCTGCAGTGCTTAGGAAACTTAGGAAACCAGATTGTTAGGACAGCACAGAGTGGGGTTAGGGTTTCTCTCCCACCTCAGTTTGGAGAGAGCTCCTGAGGAAAGCCACAGAGCAAGAACTACTCTCTACACCAGCTGACTCACAGAATTGAAGACCCACCCTTTGAGACTGAAGGTACTTTCTTAAGAGCCACAAAACACAGTTCCTACATATATCAGTACAACTGCTGTAAGAGACAAACTTGCATAAATAAGTCATCAGCCCATACTGTAAAATTCAGATGAACATTAAACTGTTTGATTCTGTCTTTGATGAGCAAGTTAGTACATAGATACATCACTGTTTAAAACCATTCAGAGAGGAAATAAGGCAGGCTGAACAGCCCGTCACAGCAGCCTTAGCAGAAGCATCAAATTTGACAGAATGTAAATGTTACAGCCAGAAATAAATTAAAATAAAGAAACAGAATTTGCCTGAACACCAGACTAACAGCAAAACAGTCAAAGTAGCCAAAAGTGGGCGACCAGGTGATATTTACATTTATTTTATTTTTTGCATTATTTATTTGATATTTGTACAGTTTATTTCAAAGTCAGTATGGAAACTGGTTACCCACACATAAATCATTCTGTGGCAGCTTTAGTCAAGTCGATTTCTCTTGTCAACGAGGAAATATTGGTTTGAGCTGGTAACATGACCTGTGACCATGGTTCCTTGTTGTGGTGGAGCGCTAATGCGAGGCCCAACCTCAATGTGTTTGTAGCTACATGCTTGATGTCTGCTTGACTCTAGGGTCATATAAGATGAAAGAGTTGAAGGTAACAGACTTGGAGCGTTTAAAAAAATCAATTTTAATGAAGGCTGTTGTACATTTTAAAACTTTGAGCTAATCCCCTCCCTCTTTTTGCCACCTCTCCTCCAGCCTTCAACCACTGCTGTAAAGAATCTGGTTTCTTCATGGTGTTTAAGTGTCGAGAGGAGAACGCAGCGTTAAAAGAATGTCTGACAATACAGTGAGTATTTAACAGTTTCCCCCTCAACACTTACACTGCAAGGTGGCTGCAAGTGTGGTGACAAACCACATGTTATCTCTCCAATATCTTTTGCATATGCTCACCTACACTCAGCCACCCTCGCACATACTCCTAGCTGTTGCACCTCAGGCCTCAGTAGCTAAAAAATTCAGTGATCATGAAGTTGCATCTGTCCTATGTAATGAATGCTGTACTTTCTGTCCTCCACCAGCTACAACGACCCGTCGTTCTTCGAGGAGTGCAAGCAGGAATACATTCGAGAGAAGCTCGAGTATGAGAGGACAGGGATCCCAGCGAAGAACCGGAAACAAAAACTGCCAACAAGCATGTGATCGCCAATACGGTACCCCAAAGCAACTTCGCGTATTGGAAGCTGGCGGAGCGGAGTGTGAGGCTCTTGCCAGGACCATCTTCAAGTCTACACAGGACACATGGTTCCCCTGCAGAAATTAAACTTGGCTTTTCTATAATTTAAATAATGGCGCTTTGAAGTTCTGTACGTTTGCTTATGTTCTTTTTCAGATTGCCAGAATGATCTCCCTCACAGCACTCAAAGTTGCAGAACTGATGATCTTATTGATAGAATTGGCAGAAAGGTCAACTCCAGGTATAATCAACCCCTGACCTAAATGCTTGAGCTTCAGAGCATAAATTTGGATAATCGCTTTCAATCACAGAGTACATGCAAGAAAGCACAGATGATAATAAACAGCTGTTTCAACAACAGTTTGGTCATCAGCTGACTGAAGTTTATAATATTGTGCAAAGAATTAAAATGAGACATGAACATGAAATACACTTGTACAATGTATATAGGAGAGATCTAACAATTAACAAAGCAATGAATTGCGTGTTGTCATTGTATCTCTGAGTGTAATGTGAGAATGTAAATAAAAGTTTGTCTGTTTCCCCGCTGTGTCAACAAAATATACAATAACTTAATTTATCACTAAAGTGAAATTCATTTGTCTGGAATCTCCTGAAAATTTTCTCTGAAAGAATTCCTATGGAAAAATTTACATACCTATGGAAATATAATAATCAAAATATTTTGTCTGTCAGTCTGACCTCATTTGAAAAAGTCAACTATTATAATGTTATTTAAGTGGATCCACTGGCATGCACTTAAGATCTATTTCCCTGCATTCAAAATTAGATCATAGTTTCTTTGAGCAACTGAGAGTGTGTCAATGTGTTCTTTTTCTGTGCCACTCTCATGTATTGTAATGCTTTAACAGTACATGGGCGGAGAAGTGGTCTCTCAAACAACTAAATTTGATTTGAAAGGGTTTGCAAGAGCCATATACCTTATATTTGTAGATATAAATTCATCAAGTTAAACCCAGCTTTACTAAATTTTCCTTTTGTATTACTGTTTTTTTATGCTATAACATTGAGACATAATATTCAGACTGTCTCATTTGTGCTCAGAGCTGAAAATCAGCTTGTTGAATTGTGATCTTGTATTTGACAGGAACAGTTGCAGCAGGTGTCTCTAAAACATACTGGAAGAGAAAGCTAAAAACAAAAAGAATCACAGAACCTCAATGCTTAAAACTGAGATAAGATAGAGCAAACTCACAGTCACTTCCTTTCCTTTCGTTTAATTGATCATATTTACAAACAGTCTGAAGTGCAGTAAATCTAAAATATAATCCATATCTACTGTACATTGCATTTTGGTTTGCAAATCGTTTACAGAAGTATGAAACTACTGCTGTAAAATAACATTTCTTAGAAATCAACAAAAAGACCACAGTTATGAAACGAGACTGAAGAAAATGGAAAAACAAAACATCTTTTCAACAACCATGGGGTCTTGTGCTTTGTGCACCTATTTCTCAAGTCACATTTCCTCAGGTTATTAGACTTATTGTGTGGCCACCATTGCAGACAGCATAACTACATATCAGAAGTCTAAAGATTTGGGCAGAAAAAACATCCTATGGTTCAAAGTGCAAAACTGCATTTCACAAAGAACTGAAGCTCACCATGTACATTTATACAGATTCAGTTGTCCCTCCAAATATCCTGCGTTCATGGGTCTTCTTTTTTCAATCCTTTTGCTTACTTTATTCTTAAAAAGAGAACAACAAACCTGCTCTCTTCAGACAACAACTCAAGCCACACTGTAAATCAAAGTATTTCCTAGATTATCATCAGCTGTGTGCCAAGTTCAGATACATGTTTTCGAGCTGAAGAGCTCCATGAACCTCATCAAGTTACTGATTTTTTCAGGGTTTCAAATACAGAGAAGTGTGTGAGACACCTGTACAGTGAGTCCCTCAAGTTCAAAGTCCTACAAAAAAAAAAAAAAAACATCCAAGAATGCACAGCCTTACTTATAATGCCGCTTTAGCAAGTGAGAAGAAAACAACACGAAATCATCTGTCAGCAGTTCTGAGAGAATTGAATATGTGAAAACAGGCAGGTATAGGGAGCTTGTTAAGAGTTGACTGTAAAATCATCAGCAGTTTAATCATTTCTGGTGAAAGTGACAGTGGAGTGTCGTTTATGACAGCTATACATTTTAAGAGTTCCTCCCCATTTTACATAGTCCTTAAAACACTGTCACTTCACTTCATGCTAATTCAATAAGCATGAGTAGGTGTAGGCTGGCAGCCTGCTTTGATACTGGTCCAGAAGGGTTTGATGAACTTTAAACTTGTCAAAGAGGAAAATATGTCAAAGACTTCATTTGGTATCTGTTATATTTGGAACAAAAATGATGTGATTATCCTACAGTTACTGTATGTCTGTCTCCACCACAGTACAAAAACAATCACACTGAATCTTCATACCTAAATATTTCCTTCACATGATCATGAGACATGAGACTACACACCTTGTATACTTTACAGCCATCAAATGTAAAAAGACTTGTATTGGAGGGAGTACACTTTTACAAATTATATCATGTTGTGGCTCCAGTGATCACATTAGATTTATTATGACAAGATACAGATGCAGGCAGGCGAATGACACCTGCACACTGATCTGCACACACAGGCACACTCTGCTTGATGTGTGTATATGCACACACAAATAAAACTGCTCGTATGCATGCTCGCACACATGTATGCATGGGCATACAAGGACACATACACATGGACAAACTATTTATTCTGCTGCTGAGGGTCTCATTAACTTCTCCTCTGCAAAGTCCAATATGTTCACCGATGCGGTGTGCAGAGTTGACAGATAAGTTTACAGAGTCTTCACCTCGAAAAAGGCCTCCTCTGACCTCAATCAGGTCCCACAATCAGCAGGAGCAGTCCATTCCAGCCCAGAGGAGTGGTCTTATCAACTTAAGGCAGGTTAGGTGGTAGCTATGTGGCAGGGTTGGACAGTCCAATCATTCATCCATTGGTTTATTCTTCCTTCTGCTTACACTTTTATTCAATCTTTGATTCCCCCATCAAAGCCCCTCTCAATAGGGCTTGGTCCACTCGGCATTGGGAGGGCTTCGAGGAGTGCAGTTTCCGATTGAGGAAGAGGAGTTGGACGTGGCAGAGTGTCCCTCCCAGAACATGGCATCACTTGGTTTTGGTGGGCTGGGGAAGGACCGTGAGCTGTCATCCAGGGAGGCCTGGTTTAAAGGGGGCGGGGGCAGGACTACAGAGCAAGTGTCGCTTCCGAGCAGCAGAGCCTCTCCTGAGCAGCTCTGGGTGGGCCAGGGTCCATTGTACCAGCAGTCCTCTCTTAGGCTGTCAGGCAGCAGGGTGCCCGATGGCCCGCAGACAGGGGGGCAGGGGCGACCGGAGCAGGAGGGGAGTGGGGGGGCACTAGGGGGGCGAGGCACTGACACCCGGGGAATTGTGTGGTTGTTGTTCTTTTCCACGTCATCCCGACACTGTATTGGAACTGTTGAGGCAGGCAGAAAAAAGAGGGGTGGGGTTAGAAGTGGAAAGATGGTAATGGTCAAGTACTGCCAGATAATGCCAGACTGTGCTGAGGACATGTACTGGTGGAAGAAGCATTAACCAAAAATATTCAAAAAATATTTAAAATCAAAACATTAACTGTTACCTCTGCTAGTTAGGGTCATCTCAAAGTCTCTAATATTTAGTTGTTATGGTAAGAGGGCATAATTACACTGCTTGACACTGCTGATTCAAATAAGATAGACGACTGATTGAATTACTATTTTGTTTGTCTGCCCTTAACTGTGCATAAAAAACAGTTTAAACTAAATCACTGCAGCCTGTAAATCCAGCAGACGCTCTAAATGAAGTCATCTCTTCTTCCCTGCAAAAGCTAACAAAGTTTTCTTTTTGTATTTGGCACCAAGATCTCACCTCTGTGCTTACTCTTTAACATGTTTACCCGTGGATTAAATATAAGGTTCCGGGAAACTTTTAAAATTCAAAGGCGAGGACAACAAAGCCTTTTGATCCCTGACTACATAATAGACCTCAGAAAGAGGTGAAATCTCCCACCATGCAGCAGGCTACAAACCTTTTCACCAAGTAAATATCACTGCCTCTGATGCATTAAATATACAAAATAATAATTAGGTTTTGTTCACAAGTACATTATTCCACACAGGTAATTTATCCGGCATATATCAGCAGTCCTAATCTCACACACACATCACCGCTTTGCCGTCAAATCATCATTCTGAGCAAATAATAAAGTTGAGATGAGTATCTTCTCCTCGTACCATCTCTCCATCCATTTCTCTCTGCTACTCTTCCATGAGAGGGTCTCCTGAGTCTGGGATTTGAATAAAAGTGATTCAAGGAGAACATTAGAAGAATACAGATGCACAATATGACTGAATAAATACATGTCCCCCTTTCCTCCCCCCTCTTCCATTTTCTCTCTTGCTTTCCTTATTTCTCTCCATCTCTCTCATCTAAGTTACAGGATTACCCTTGTATTCAGTGGAATAAATAGAGCAAGATTTATTTTCTTGCCATATTTCGTTCTAATTTTCACCTTCTAGTCTCTTCTTCTGACACTCGGAGGGAATCAACAACAGAGGTAATCTCTCCAAGGCTCGAATACATTACACAGAGGAAGAAGAGAGGAGGGACAGACCATTTCATGATGTCCTTTGTCAAAGTGCTTGAGTACTTGGATAATATCCACAGTCTTATCACACCCTTATACAAATTGCAACAAGGAGCAGCAGGAGAGATCTTCTCAGGAAGTAGTTCTTCAGAAAAGCCTCCCTGAAGAGAGAAGCTGCAGTAAACTACTATTTCATTTGATGTTAGCCACAGAAGTTACCAAGCAGAGAAGCAAGGTTTGAAGTCCTGAAACTGTATTTGAAGTATACGTTGAACTACAAATTTGACACTGCATGACACTCAGGTTTAAGACACATTTGAATGTCAAACTGGTCCAGTACGCCAAACACTATTCCTCACAGTTCTCATGGGTTATAAAAGACTCACCAAGTCTAATTGTAGATTGTACTTTAATAATTTAAACATTTTTAAAACAGACTATCCTTTTCATCTGCCTAAAAAATGTGGAAGGAAAGGTACAACTTCAAAAGTCAGTACAGTATGTGAAAGATTGCGATAGTTATGATATTTCACATGAAAAGAAAGAAAAAAAAAATACATTTAAGATAAGTACCTGCCTAATGTCCTTAATAATTCAATCCCATACTTAAAGTATACTTACCATACTTTATACTTATTGAATTTCCCTTTGGGGATAAAGAAAGTTATTCTTATTCTTGAACAGACAAGACATAAATCTCAGATACACATGACATACATGCAAATAAACATTAAAGGCAAAAATAAACAGACAGAAGAAAAGGGGGTAGTGGGCATCAATACATACTTAGGGCATGCTTGAAATTCATGCTTGTTCTTGTTAATGTTATTAATACGATCATTAAAATGACAGTAATTATCCTCATTTTTTTGGTAGTGAGAAGTTAAAAAAGACCTGACTGTATCCCACAATCCCTCTAGACCTAGTTCAAGAAGCTGATTACATCCCTATCAAGTCTATAAACACGTCTAAGCATTTGCTCAAACCAAAACAGGTTGGAATTAAAATCTTCCGGTTTAAAAGAATTTTCCAAATTTTTATTTGGTCACAGACAACCCAAAGAGAGCTAATATATATAATGGGGGACAGCTGGCCGGGGGAAATGTAATGCAGGCATTCCCACAAACAGTGTAAAACCGTGCCTCTTTTACCACTGCCATGCCAGAATCTGTCTGAAAAGGAGTTAACTATTATACGCTCTGTGCAGAACTTTCATCTGAATCTCCCCCTAACTTATTATTAATACTTTTTTTTTAAGTACTATTTTTCTTTTTTTTTATTGATAGTACAGGGTGAAATATGGGAAGATAGAGAAAGAGGGGGGAGGACATGCAGCACACGGTTGGGGCTGGACTCGAACCTGCAACAGCTGCGAGGACCACGGTCCCCATACATGGGGCACGCTAACCCACCCGGCCACCCACTCGACTTGTTCGTTAAGATTACCATATGAAATTATTTTTTTGATCGCTAATCAATATCTTCCAGACACTAAATGTGAACTCTGCCATCTGGTGTTAATAAATGGTATGCCACCTGCTACAAAAACAAGTTTACACCAAACAGGGCAAGAACGGAGAGAAGTGTCAAGTAATTTGACTCTTTTGTGAGTCAGTTTAGAAGAACAGTTCTTTGGTTGTCAAGCTCTGCAGGAGAATATGGATAAAACCACAAATAATTTAAGAATACTTTGTTAACATTAGTAAAATTCTTCCTTCGAGTCATTTCCAACCTATGCCCCATGCAACAGGGTATCAAGCATAACATTATGATTGATATTGGTCTACTTTCACTCTACTTATATTTTTTGGTTACCGCACAGAAATGAAGGAAACGCGTTTTTCTCCTCTTTAAACCCACTAACTGGAAACTACGTGGACAAAGTTGGTAAGATACATGAGGGTCTCAGAAATATCATCATCTTAAGTACTTCAGATGACTGTAGCAAGTCTAAGTTGAAACACTTTTAAAACAGGGGCCTCCAATTTTAATAGTGCAAGGATTCCACATGAAAGGTGCATTGTCCAAATCAGTAACAAAAGTATTTGAATTCAAGGATATGGCTTTAACATTTACTCCAGCTTATTTCATAGCCTGAAAAATGCTGGATGTGTTAATGGGTCTTGATCCAGATGATAATTACTGAATAGGATTACTTAAACTCAATTAAATATTGTCTGCATATAATCCAGATTTAGATGGCCAGTATTTCTGGATTGGTGTAAACCTCATTGATAAAGCCTTTATTCCATCATGACAGAGACTTATTCATCTCTACAGCATATCACTCAAACTTGGACAAGTTCACTTAATGCATGGCATTTATACGCACTTTTTTCCAGTTTATCTACTCCATTAACTTGTTTTCTAACACAGGTACAGTTTTTTTTTTATTTCAACCTGTTGGAGAGTTACACTGAATCATCAAGATGTACATACTGTATCTACACAGCTCTAAAAGGTCCATCATTACGCCAATGATCTTAAGTCTATGTTTATTTTGGCATTATTTTATTCATGTCCCATGTAGTTAGAACACTGCTGGATACCCAGTTTTGACCTTTTTATTTTTGGTCTACAACATATGAAAGATTATAATAAATATTATGCTCAACCTCTGCTGCATGCTTTTTTAACAATTCCCAGACTCTCATCTATCCTCACTACAGCACTCAAACTTAGATCCACAACATGACTCTAAATCAGTCTCAGTGCGTTGCATTGATGCACATTTAACTCAAATATTATCAATTACACTGCACAGTTTCTACATTATTTATGGTAAGATATTTGCATTTACCATCATCTTGTGCATATCTGCAAAACAGTTACAGTATGCTCACTTTACATAAAAAGTATCAGTCTGATTTTCTTTATTTTTATTCTGAAATTTGCTGTTGTTTTTGCACCAAAATACCAAGACAGATTCCTTGTATGAGCAGGAGATCTCAAGTCTGCACAGGCTGCATCTCAGTAGTAACCTGTGAGACCCTGCTATAGAGGGATATAGGGGATACAGGATGCTGCTGGTACTGCTGAACATACTGAGAAGGTGTGAAAAGGCAGAAGGGGAGGCAGTGCTGCTGGGTAATCACATACACTCATACAAACATGTAACAGATGGATTGATTTGTATTCAAATATACACCATGAATGGTGCAGCCCTGAGCGTGGCTCCACGTCTGTATTTGTGTGTAAGTGTGTCTCACCTTGCCTGCTCTCACTGATGAGAGGTCTGAGTTTCCTGATCAGGCCTGTTTGGTGCTTCAGCTCTGAATGAAGACGCGTGACCTCGCTGCTCAAAGCCTCATAAGTCTGCTGCATGCTCCTCTCTCTGCAGAACACAACATTTCACTCAAACATTCATGTTTTTATACTTCTTCTTTGCAGAAAGTTTTGAGCATTTTTGTCAAGTCTTTTTTTAAGCTAAATCTTGCGAGGCAGAGATCATTTCCTGCAAAGTATGAAAGAGTTCATTTTTCAAACTCAAAGGGATCACTTTCCACTAATTTATTTTAATTCTAAGAAAAAAAAAATTCAAATAAGACATGAATATGGCCAAACTTTATAGGATGCGTCATTAACCAGACTATATTTAGACATTAATCAAAACCCATGAGTGGCTTCTTAGTGGTGTGAAATGTGTTATGCAGTGTTTTTTTTAAAGACAAATTTAATGCTGTTACTGGCTTTTCCGATTTAAAGCCACAGCTGAGTCTCAAAGGTGTTGGACAAAAACCCACAGCAGCATATGTTCACAGGAAAGAGGGCATATTGTGGGTTTATTTGTACACTCACTTTATAATAAATCAATTACTGACCCAATAAACAAAGTTAATCGCTAAATAAAATGCTAAACCAACCAGTTAAAAGAACTTCATTAAAAAGTAACACCACATTTTAAAACAAAAAAAAAAAGTGACGGAATTTTTGGCAACACCTACAAACTGCCCTTTCCACACCTTACGTGAGGATGTAAAATCTCATCAACACTTTTCCTTAACTTCAAACACCTGCCAGAAACAGCACCAAAAAATGCACGGAAGGAAAAAAAACTGTGAAGTAAAACAGGAGCTTTTTGTGCTGCTAAAAAACTAACACCACCCCAAAACTGCTGACACCTTTAACAATTAAAATGCACCATAAATGGAATTTTCTCCATGGAACGCAAGTAGATGCTTTTTCCCCCCAGGAAATTATTATCCCCATAAAAGTAAGTGGAGGGTGATTTCATATGCTTTAAACCTTGTACGCAGCAAAACACTGGAGTGCATCAGTTGATGGATGGTAATCATCCCCAAGATTAGGTGAGGTTAGCAGCCTGACATGGAGTATTCTGCAGAGCTGCACCCTCCTCTAGTGGCTAAAGGAGTTTATTACAACATCAGGGTGGAGAGGCAATATCCAACCTTTATCATGTGAAAAGCAGCAATTATCTGAACATTATAGTTTCTCAGATGCCACTTTTCTTCCTAACCTCTCATCCTCAGGTCACTTTTTTAATGCTGTAATGGCAAATCCTGGTGTCTTTACCAGAATGAACGGCTTCATTCTTCCCCTTTTTATTTTAAGCATGTTTGTAAATTTAGTTCATGTTTCAAAGTCAAGAAATAGAGCATTTACTGTTGAAAACTTAGATTTAAAAAGTTTCGATTCAAGTGCACACTGGCAGCTCTACATTTACAAGCTCTGTGGTTAAACCAAGCACTGACGAAAGGAAAACGACAAAAAGCTGGTGTCAGTTCTGTAGTTTTCTGCTTAAAAGGCTTTTAGGTAATTTAGTAAGAGGTCTGTGAGACATGTGGTCAATCTGGCTAACTAAACTTCACACCTTTATTCTCAAAGGTTACTTACTAGTCTATGCCAAACTGAAGAAGAATCCCTTAATTTCACAGAGCTGCAATGTTTGGGTGTCATTCTTGCTTACTTCAGTTAAATGAAGGCAGGGTTCTGGATCAAAAGTCAATTTTCAACAAAAATCACACAAAACTTTTTACCTTGCTTTGTACTTGGCATCACAGGTGTGATCCAAGTCTGGTCCGTTAAGGCCGTGGGGTTCCTCCTAAAACAGAGTTATGAAGAAGATCGAGTTGAGCTGATGTCTGAAGTTGTTTTGAGTGTTCAAATATTTTTTCATCAACAAATCTTAGTCTCTTTTTTAGCCTATTCTTTTAGGTAATTTTTTTTTAATCAATCATTTTTTGTACTATCCAAGTCAAAACATTTCCAACCCTTGCCTTCCTTCTCAGCCCGGCTTCTCCTCACTCATTTGATTAGTTGTGTTGGCTTGTTTTGTTGCCCCTATCCCCGACTCCCCCCTCTTGTCTAGTTCTGCCACTTCAGCTAAAGAGAGTGCTGAGTTTCAGCTCTGCTCTCTTTGGTCCTCCTTTTTCCAGTCGTCTAACTGTCACTCACCCCACTTCTCTCCAGCAGCCGACTGTTCTCCAGGGTCATCCTCTCTAGCTCGCCCTGCAGCTGGTGGATCTTCTGCTCAGTGCTGACCCGGTCCACCTGCCAGTAGTCCTGTGGGCTGTTCAGGCTCTTCATGACTGAACACACAATAATAGACATTAATATTATACTAATTAGTGAGCAAATGCTCAAATCAAACGAAATCTTTTTTCTCAACAACTGAACTCAACAGCTGGAATTTGAAAACTGTTAAAATGCAGTAGCTCATTCATAAACTTAACAACAATATCTCAGGGTTCCTACACAGTTAGAATCGCCATACTTTTCCATACCTCACTTTTAGAAAACAGTGTTTTAGAACTGTGATAAGAGTCTGGAAACATAAATATTTTTCCATACTTTATTTTTTATTTTCCATACTTTATAAGACCTGGAAATTGATCAAATTTGTTTCCATACTTTCCATGGTTGCGTAGGAACCCTGAATCTTGATGTAATGTCAACATTAATAAAAAGTTTTGTATAAAGAATATGAAGATACTTCTGGATTTCCCTTTAACTTTTGGGAAAAGTGTAAACAGCAATAAGAAAGTTGAATAAAAGAGTGCAATAACCTTCTGTGAAATCTTATGTAGAGGAAGACCCAAGTTTAACCTTGGATTAAAGTCACTTCTTTCTACACAGGTAGATGTCATTCACTTTTTTCACAGGCTTGTATATTAAAATGCTTCCAATGTGATTGTCACCACAAACAGACATTAAATTAAGGGAAATGTATTATACTCCCTGTATGTTGTCAGAGCTCATTGGGCATTGTTTAAAGGACAGCTGGTTTGTTCTACAGAGTAAAAGACCACCCTGTGTTCTCTACCTGTACCTTGGCTGGTCTCCATCTCTGTCCTCAGCTGAAGCAGCTCCAACTCTTTGGCCTGGAGCTGTTCAGTCAGCAGCCTCTCACTCTCACTCTTCTCCTTTTTCTGACAGAAGAAGAGAATAGAAATGATCATTTGAACCAAATCGAAGATATTGCATGCTTGGTGCTTCTATGTACTTTTTATCATTAATATTACAGTAAGATTTAGCCACAGAACTGTTCCACTGAGCTTAAACATTCATTTGTTAGAAACATACTTGATCTTTGTGCCAGGCTTTAGTTGATTTGAGGAAAATTCAAACAAATGTGTAAACGCACCAGTTTGTTAAGCTCCATCTGCAGGTCCTCCTTCTCTATATAGATACCTCGGTAAGCACTGAAGGCCTTGTTCACATACTGGGGACCCTCTGATGGAGGTGCATCTGGCCTGAAGAGCTACATGAGGGATAGATAAAACACACACAGAGAGATCATTTTGTCAGAGTATCTATGATATAAAGTTATTTTCCACTCACCACATCCCATCTTGATAAGCTGCAGAGAAAAGCTGCAGCAGATAAACCCTTCCTATTCAAATAGCTCTCACTGTATTCTGCTCAATCTGTTGTTTTTTTAAATCCAATTTCAGGAGCCTTTTCCCCGAGTGTAGTGCTGCAACACATTGTTTGGCAATGTCATGCTTTTTTAGGCATCGTCTCTGTTTTAGACAGGGCAGATTTATGTCTCATTGTTTTCTAGCTTTGACTATCGGCCAACAATATTAATGGTGCTGGCACGCAGACTCTCCCAGAGGCAAGTATTTTGTAGAGTGCTGCTGAATTTGCTGACTCTCTCCAAACTTTCTCTGAGTATTTTGTGTTTGTTCATAATTCTGATGTCCTGGAAATTGGAAAACAAAAATCTATTTTCACTGATCTGTTTTCAGTCCACCCTCACTGAAGTTAGCACTTTGAGCTTTTAGCTGTCTGGATAAGCTGTATGCTCTATGACTTCATTCTCCTTACACGTAATCCCTTTTTTTTTCCTCTATGTCAATGTTGCTTCTTTGTTTACATCAATACCTTGTCCTCCAGCTGCTTCACCCTCTTCCTCAGTAACGTATTCTCTCGCTCAGTGTCTCTCAGCCTCTTCTTGATGTCCTCATAGGCTGTGACCAAGGCAAAGTGGGAAGCGACAGATTCGTCACCGGCACACACTGATACAGGACTCTCTCCAGCAGCAGTGTAGGCTGTCTCATGTTTAAGGATGCAAATGTCATCATCTACCGCCAGGGGCTCCATGCCTGCACAGGCCTGCTTAGAGGCAGAGTGAAGACCTGAGGATGACATAAAAAGAATCAGGTTCAAAATCATAAAGCTCTTTAATCTTTGTAAAATAACAAAATGACTGAGTTTAAACAGCAAGCTTTACATTTCAGCGAGCACCAAACACCGTAATGCCTCACTCTTATAATCTATTCATCCACCCATTACACACTGAGCTTTTAATTAAAAGCTTTGTAAATTGTTTGCACTAGCATGTTTGGAAATAATTGGCCCCTCTTTACAATCAACCACTGTTATTTCGTTCTTTGATGACAGTTTTTGTGTTTAATTGTCTTTCATATCTTTTCAGTAGAAACCTCTGATGCAAGAAAAGTTTTGAAAATTTTATTTTTTAAAAGCAAATCAAATTTTTCACAAGGAAAGAAGCAGGGAAAAATTAATTTGTGATCTTATTCTCAGGGGAAAGAGACCGTCGTGGTATTGTTCTGAAAACCTGTCCTGTTCGTCTTTGACATTAAAACGATGTGGCGTGAAGGACTGTAAACACAGAGAGTATCTAAAACATGAGTCATGCTCTTCATATCAAGTTTGACATTTAAGTGATTATGAAAGGGAGCTGTGAATAAAAGCTGAAACTTGACATAATAACATATAGTCTATATTTAAAAATTGAATCAAATAGCTGCTCAAATGTTTGTTCCACAGGTGTGCTTTGTTGTTTAAGGAGTTTTACAGAGGGTGTTGTCATAGATTCAAGGTGTTACATAATTCATTGAGATGGACCTTAAACAGCATCAGGCTAAAAGAGAATAAGCTCAGTTCTGCCATCATCAGGCCAGCATTACAAATACAGATATCATTTAGAGCAAACTTTTGACTGAACTTTATCTCATCAGTTAAAATCCATTGGTACCAGAAATCTATTTTTCAAGAGTGTTCTGGTTAAGAGAGGAAGCAGCACAGTGAGCAAAGGTTTCTGACAACCACAGAGCTGCCATAAATACTACCATAAAATGAGAAGTGATAATAATACATTGACATGGAGCAGTGGTTCTCAAGTCCAGTCCTCGAGGCCCACTGTCCTGCATGTTTTGGATGTTTCCCTGCTCCAACACACCTGATTCACATGATTAGCTCGTTATTAAGCCATGACAGAGCTTGTTAACGAGCTGATCATTTGAATCAGGTGTGTTGGAGCAGGGGAACATCCAAAACATGCAGGACGGGGGGACTCGAGGACTGGACTTGAGAACCACTGAATTAGAGAATTACTCTGTTGGGGACATGTTTATTAAATCACATCTTTAAAAAGGTCTTTTTTTATTAATTATTTTGCTTTAGTGTTGGACTGTGCCTGGACTGCATTACGCTAACCTGTAATAAATATAAAGATGACAGTGTCACCACAGTAAGAGGGAGTCTATGATATGACCATGTGGCAAATCTCCTCCCTTTTTTGTGAGAAAGCACGACTTTTAAATATACAGAAAAAAAAAATAGCCAAGAGACATTAGGTATCACTCTTTCAACAGAGGCCATCCAGATTGACTCAAAAGGGAAACCCCCAACTATGATCACCTGTCTGACAATGTCCACGAAAACTAAAAATGCAGACACTTCATTAAAGCAGATATTGTGAAAGGGCTGTTGTACAGGGTTTGCATTAGATTGTCCATGTGTTGAAAATTTATGGCTGGACAGTAGGGGAGAGTGGGATAAGATGAGCCATTTTTCATATTTCGGATCACTACATCAAGGCAATCATAGTTTTGTCTCTAACTAGTGTATCTGCATATATTTCAAGATGTTGTGCATTCCTGCAAACCAACAAAATGAGTGTAAACATAACTGTCTTGATAATAGAGCATGCCAAAATAAAGTGGTCGCCTATGGTCAACTTACCCCGTGTATGGGGTAAGTTGACCACAGGAGCAGAGTAAGTTGAGCCGTATCACTACTACCCCCCACTCTGCACCCCAGCCCTCCCTCACCTTATCTCTCCCTAAATAACAGTCACTTCTTCACATTCATGTGTATTTTTAACTATTATACACTATTCAACAGGTACAATTTTTGTTAAAGTCTGTTTTGTAAAAAAAATAAAAATAAAAAATTAACATGAGATTGCCTTTAAGTGATTCAGAACATTCACAGCTGTATTTTTGAAAAGAAGTCACACATTTCAACAATCTGAACTGAAACTCTTATCCTCTCATCAGACTTATTCACTTTCTCAGTTAAGCCACTGGCTCAACTTACCCCAGAACTACAATAATGACATTATTAGTCCTCTTAGATAAAATGGTGGACTTTTATTCTAGGTTTTTGACCTCATGTTGTAGTTCATAGATACCACAATTGATGTATAAAACAAATTTAAAATGATCTTTTTTGGTCTAAGCACAATTCTAATAAAACTTATGACAGACTAAATTCACTTTCAAGAGTTAAAAATGTTTTTTTTAAGTAAATGTCTAACCACTTCACCCATGTGCTTCTAACCTTCACAGACTCCATGAATTGATGCCTATCTCATAAATGTTTGGTCACATGATCAATCCCTTTCACCATTTCCAAGCAACAGGGGGTGGCTCAACTTACCCCACTCTCTCCTATGGTATTCTGCTAGTAATTTTAATGGTTAAGTGTTACACAAAGGTGAACTCTGATTGTTCGCAGGTACAGACGTTAAGAGTGTCTCTCTGACCTCTAAATCCAGCAGACACAGCCTAAAACGCTCTCCACACCCTCTCTGACCCTCTCACTTACAGTAAGTCACAGCAGAGACGGCGCAGCTAAGGCTGGTGGGTGATGTCAGCGTGCAATGATGCAGCAAACACTGAGGAGCCAAGTTTTAAACACCGAAGGCCGGGGCTTTAAGATATACAAGTTTCAGCAGACTGACACCAACAGGCTATAAGAAACCTAACATGGCCATAAACTCGGAAAAAACACTAAAGAACGACCGCTGACTGTCAAGGATGATTGCAACAAACTCGATGAAATCGAAAGTCACCCCGGCGGCAAGTAATCAAAACGAAAGTCAACTTGAGTCCAAAAACAAGACACGGAGAGCAACGTCAAATCTGGCTCTGTGCTCTCAATAAATCACACCAGCTAACAGCTGGTAGGACAGGAAGAACAACAAAGAGAGCTTGTTTTATTCATACAAGTATTCAGAGCAGTCATCATCTGGATGTAAACAATCAATGCATCTCGACTGTATATGCTGCTAATGTTAATGTGTTAGCTTCCGTAGCTCATTTGTCAGCTTAAACACACACTGGAAGGAAGTTCAAAGACAGGTTTGAGAATTGATAACATCATGTAGAGACAATAAGCATCACAAACATCGCACAAGTATCAATATCTGCGGTGTTTACAATGATCGATCTGTTATGGTGATAACAGTTAGCCAGCGCTAAGCTAACGTCTCCTGGCTATTTGTTGCTAGGGGAAGCAAAGGCAGTCGATTATTTTCACTTTCGACTTCCACTAACCGTGTTAGATGTTGTCCTCAATGCGGTGACAGTCGGCGGAATTGTATAATCATTTATTCCAGATAAAATAAGGCATTTTCATCGGAGGAAAACAAAGAGACGATGCTAGCCGCTCGCACCGTGTCAGAAGTGACAGGTGAGGAAACAAAAACTTCCGGGAGTCACTTGACTGCCAAAGTCCTTTCAAAATAAACGCACATTATAAACCTTATTAAAAGAATGATGTCGAGAGAGAATAATGTCTGTGCACTGCAAGCTTTAACAGTGAAGTCTATTCATATATTTCTGTTACAGTGGATATAAAAAGTCTACACACCCCTGTTCAACTGCCAGGTTTTTGTCATGTAAAAAATTAAATCAAGATAAATAATTTCACAACTTCTTCCACCTTTAATGTGACCTATAACCTGTACAACACAATTGAAAAACAAACAGAAATCTTTCAGGGAGGTGAAGTAAAAATAAAGAACTGAGATCATGTGGTTGCATAAGTGTGCACACCCTTTAATAACAAGGGATGTGGCTGTGTTCAGATTTAACCAATAACATTCAAACTCAGGTTAAATTGGAGTCAGCACACACCTGTCACCAATGGAAGTGCCTCTGATCAACCCCAAATAAAGTTCTGCTGTTCTGGTAGGCTTTTCCTACTTTCCTTTTGCAGCCACATCTTCCAGCACAAACCATGGTCTGCAGAGAGCTTCCAAAGCATCAGAGGGATCTCATTATTCAAAGATGTCAGTCAGGTGAGGGCTACAAAAGAATTTCCAAGGAATTATACCATAGAACACAGTGAAGACCGTCATCATCAAGTGGAGAAAATATGGCAAAACAGTGACATTACCAAGAACAGGACGTCCGTCCAAAATTGATGATAAGACTAGAAGAAAACTGGTCAGGGAGGCTACCAAGAGGACAACAGCAACACTGAAGGAGCTGCAGGAATTTCTGGCAAGTACTGGCTGTGTGGTACATGTGACAACAATCTCCTGCTGTCTTCATATGTCTGGGCTATGGGGTAGGGTGGCAAGATGGAAGCCTTATCTTACACAGAAAAACATCAGAGCTCAGCTCAATTTTGCAAAAAGACATCTGAAATCTCCCCTAGCATGTGGGAAAATGTGTTATGGTCTAATGAAACCAAAGTTGAACTTTTTGGGCGGCATTGCAAAAGGTATATTTGGTGCAAAATTAACACTGCTCATCACCAAAAGAACACCATACCCACAGTGAAGCATGGTCATGGCAGCATCATGCTTTGGGGCTGTTTTTCTTCAGCTGGAACTGGTACCTTAGTCAGGGTGAAAGGAATTATGAACAGTTCCAAATACCAGTCAGTGTTGGCACAAAACCTTGTGCCCTCTGTTAGAAAGCTGAAGATGAAGAGGAACTTCATCTTTCAGCACGACAATGACCCAAAGCACACATCTAAATCAACAAAAGAAAGGCTTCACAGGTATAAGATTGAGACTTTGGAATGGCCCAGCCAGAGTCCAGACCTGAATCCCATCGAACATTTGTGGGGTGATCTGAAGAGGGCTGTGCATAGGAGATGCCCTCGCAATCTGTCAGATTTGAAGCGGTTTTGCAAAGAAGAGTGGGCAAATATTGCCACATCAAGATGTGCCCACTGATAGACTCCTACCCAAAAAGACTGAGTGCTGTAATAAAAGCCAAAGGTGCTGCAACAAAGTATTATTTTAAGGGTGTGCATATTTATGCAACCAGGTTATTTTAACTTTTCTATTTTTTATTTTTCCCCTTAAAGGTTTTGGTATGTTTTTAAATTGCATTGTACAGTTTATAGGTTACATTAAAGGTGGAAAAAGTTGTGAAAATATTTATCTTGCTGTCATTTTCTCACATCACTAAAACCTAGCAGTTGAACAGGGGTGTGTAGGCTTTTTATATCCACAGTAACTATTACAGTTAATGGTCTTTAAGTTAAGCTAAAACAATCGTGTCTATAGAATTCATACAGAGAACTATTCACAAAGTGTTGACAGGTTCATATTTACATATTTACAAGTTGAAATGCTTTTCTCTACAGCAGCTTGTGAGGGTTAGCAGATTATACAGAATGTGTTACTGAGGTTCATTTATATTTATTTTGAGGTCCTATCCTCTGATTAGTAAGTGCTGTGATATGTGATCAGGGTTGTCCAGCGTTTTTGGGGTTATGTTGTGGTTATGGGAAGATGGCTGAAGAGTAAAAGTGCTGCTAAGAAAGTTATCCATCTCCATCCTGCTGTTTCTCATCATTAGAATTATCCAACCACCTTACATTGAACCTTCACGTTACATTTGAATGGACCAAAGATTGTTCCGAGTGATGTTCCTCCATGGATACAGCCAGTTTTCAAATTGATCTGAAATTTAAGAGACGAAGCTGGAGGGAATGTAGGTTATTTGGTGCAAGATTAGTCCTACATGTGGGAAATGACTTGTAACCATATGTCTGTTTCACTGATGGAGCTACAGCTCACAGATGTATAGGTATTGGAGTATTCATACCAAGTTTGATGTAGTCATAGACCAAGAATTAAGTATTCTCTGTATCTATAGCTGATATGATTGCAACAATTTTAAGACTGCAGTTGATGACAATGGGAGAACGTAAACATTTAAACTTGTTCAAATTCTCCTGCAGTTTCTGGTTGTCTAAACTCAGAAGTGACAATAAGAGGTAGTTTGTTGTTAAAAATATCATTGGTAATATTGAGAATACAAAAAACTGGAATTGATGTCGCCTTTAGCTTTGTTGGGTTCCTGTTCATGCTGGTGTGAAAGATCACAACAAGAGTGCAAAGACAGTGTTAAAACAAAATAAGGATTGTTTCATGGAAAGGTGAGGTTTAGTAATGAATAAGAAAAACAGTGGAAGATTTGGTTCAGAGAAGGTGGGATTAAGATACCAAAGGGATGCACTATCACAACACACAGAAATCAGTTTGTATGGAGGTTTCCTAAGGGGATAAACTGTGCCCATTGTACTTAAATAAACTCTTTTTAACTGTAAGATATTAACTTGATAGATATTTTGTTTGTAATGTCCCAAAAGATGCTGTATATTTTGTTTGGCTAAAACATTTTTTAAAAGAACAATTTACATGATTTGAGTTTGGAAGTAGATCGAATATATCTAAAGGATTGAAAGGCGATGCGAAAAAGAGAGACTGAGTTGATAAAAGTCTGTAATTTATGCATTTATTTTTTTATGTTGTATATATTGTGTACCTTTTTTTCGTACCTCATGATTCTGTTTCTGTTTCTCTCACTCTTTTTTTTTTTACTTATCTATTGAGCTAGAAATGGAGAAGCTCTCCAATCTCGTTGTACTTCAGTATAGTGACAATAAAGGGCATTCTGATTCTGAGTAAATTAAAGCGTTGTTGTTGTTTTTACAACTCCAGTACAGTAGGTGGCGACATGCATCAAAGCGTTGGTTTGAGATCCGCCAACGAACCACGAGAGAAGAAGGGCAAGAGTACCCAGATGCAGCGCCAAGATGGCGGACCCAAAGATAGAAAACCACATTTACAAAACGCAATAAGTTTCCGCATTACCTCCGATTGGCGGACCCAAAACATGAACTTTGAACTTCTGCTTTGCGATGCCAGAACAGTAGGTGGCGGTATGTACCTACACTTTCTGACGGCAAAATTTACAGAAGAAGAAGAACTCTCAGGAAGTTTGAAAAGAAGCAAGCCGTCCGCATTCATTCAATCTCACCTCCGACCACTCAAACTAACCCTAACCCTGCATTCCATTGTTTCCATCTTGGGAAATCTAAGTGACGCTCTCAAATTAACAGGAACATTGCGCAGAAGATATGTCCTGGACAATGGACTGAGAAAACGGACAGAGATTTGGAGGTATTTGTGCATGCTCTATATTACAGTTGAAAAGTGTATAACAGCTTTCCAATGCTGTTACTTGTGGCGAACACCTTTTTGCTTGAGTTGATGCGTGCCCGCAGGTGGAATAATGTCACATGTCACACACATTTTCTGTTGTTTTGATTTATTTACTCATTCATCATTTTATGTGCGCACCTCTCCTAATCAACCCACCCATTAAATAGACAGGCACAATAGCACCATCTGCTGGCACAAAAAATACATAACAATAAACTGCAAAACCCCAATCTGGCTCCTACAAAGTGTATGTGACAAGATGATTAACGTTTGCTTTTGTTAAATCAGGGCTTCCCCAGCCAGGACTTCGGCTCAGACTGTGGCATATTCATGTTGATGGTAGGTCATAACGAGCTGTAATGCACAAATATTGTATCTAGAATAACTTTCCAACATGGACTTTTTTAAAGTTATCTCACATGTTGTCTCATAATTTTTTTTTTAAGTCTGCCATGTACATTGTTATGGAGTCACAGTTTGACTACTCAGTTGTAAGTACTTTTCAACACGCAGTGTCATCCTCAAGGTTGTATTTTGTATTGTGCACTAAAATGAAATACAAACAACAATTTCAGCATGACATGCCTGTTTTGCGGCGATGGTGGTGCCTGTTGCTCCTGGAGAACAATTCTTTGAACAGGTAGACAGTTTAAGTAAACTAGATGCCCTAATTAACTGGAAGACAATCAATATATTGTACTTAAAGATATATTGTCATTACAGTTGTGGGAAAATCTTCGCCCACTGGACCAAAGAATGTCAAGAGCTCATTGCTGGAAAGCATACTCCGGTCTTCAGTCTAAAGAGGAAGGCAGAGCAGCAGGACATAGAGGTTAGAAAATTGCCTTCTAAAACAGTATTATCTCAGTGGGAGTCCTTCAGAATGCACACAGTTGTATGGATCAACATTGTCTCGATGTATTTGGTAATTGATGTTACTTTTCAAATTGCCTTGTCAAGGAAACCGTGACGCAGACGGCATCAGATGTCCAAAGAATGTGCATGGCAGATTCAATGCAATTCTGTGTCTACCAGACATCGAACAACACAGGAGAGAGGTGTGTTGCAGACTCAATTTAATAAATGCAATTATCGGGGCCTATTCAGTGATTTTCCATGAAGTGACCACTTTTACATATAGTTTAAATGCACGAATCATGCAGGAAAATTATTTATACATTCAAATGTGCTGCAGAGGTATCATCAATTGGACAGCGTGTTTGTTTAATATTATGTTTGTCTCTCATTTGATCAGATTGCTTTACCCTGAGGTAAAATTGATCAAATGGGTCCAGTGCAAGACGTGCAGGGGCTGGCTGCATCAGGATTGTGCTGGGATTGAAATGGAGCCGTTTGACTGCGGGTGCGAGGACTCCATTGAGCATCCTCGGTATAACATAATTTATCAAGGAAACATAGTATCAGTCAAAAATACGAGGCTCAAAGGATGAAAAAATGAGGGCTTGCTCTTTTCTTATTTCTCTGCAGGATCAAGGATGCTGTTGACAGTTGAGGAATTCATGCTGTCTTTTCTAAGACACAGATCAAGGTTGCTTTTGAATGCACTATCAGTTGTTAAAGCCACCGTTTCTTTTTCAGATGATTACATTTTTGTCTCTTGCTCTTTGGTTTCAGACATTACACGATGATCTACTGTCTGGAAAGATCCGCTCCAACAGAATGTTCCTTTGGAGGAATCCCGCCACCTCTCTCCGACTAAAGCAGCATCTTAAGATAAGGACACTAAGTTGGAGTGAGCAGCGCGTAAGTAAAAATGCCATCCATCATGAGTATTTTTACTCTCAGGGGTGTTACATTTGAAAGGTGTTTACTTTCTGTGTTTTTCTTCAATAGATGTTCGAGCTCCTGCGGTTCATTGAGGTGGCAACAAACATTTCTAAAAAAATAAAGAGAGGCGAGATTTATCTGCTTGATTTCGTTTTTGACGTCATGCTCCCAGAGGTGAGTAGATCAAACTATATAGCTTGCTTTGAAAATTGATGATATTGTTAAGAGGTTGTTCTTATTCATTTGGAAAGCTCAAGAACAACAATTAACCCATACTGCATAACTTCAATTGTTCACATTATTTGACTGTTTTTCAGCTTTTGATCAAAGCACTGAAGGAGCATGGCATCAACCGGTTCAGAGCAGAGCTGATGATGGCCTGTGGCAACGTGTTTTAAGCCCCCCACCACACCGACGGCAGTGCTGAATTTTGTATATATATATATTTTTTTACTGTTCACAATTTTGTTTGGAAAAAATTAAAGAAATCTTCAATTTCCCATTTCTTTACACAGTCTGTAATGATATCGCTATTCAATTGTTTTTGCTATATGGCTCTTCTGAACCTTAAAGAGATCATGTGACTTGTGTCTCTACAACTATTGTATACTTGGATTTTGCACAGTCAAGCAATCCTGAAGAGGTTCACCAGGAAGCACACCATTTCATAAATGATGTCCCTGGTTACACAATGTTACTAAAGGATGGGGGAGTAAATTTGTGCAGCAACATAAGCACTCTCATAAAACATAATTATGAACAACAGAAAATATGTGAGGGTCAGGGCAACATTGTTGACATTAAACGAGGTCCTAATAGGAGTGGAGAAACAAGGTCACAGAGAAGTTAAGAAACATTGATGTGCTGTGTAATAAAGCTATTGGAGAGAAAAGTTAGAAAACACTGTTATATGATGTGTAACGAGAGGTTAAAACAGTCCATACTTGTAGCAAACTCTTACAAAAGAATTTGAGTAAGATGATAACTTCTACATACATTTACCTATTCTGACAAATTATCAGAATATGAGGACATCAGGCTATATATACATATTACTGTAAACTTCAGAATTAAATCAGAACAAAACAGTAGTCATAGTTAATACATAAACGTTTTATTTTGATTTTTAGCTCAATGATAAATTTAATTCGATTCTTATGGAATGAACGGAGCAAAAAAAAAAGGATCCGGCGACTAAATCCGACTACCTGAAGTATTTCGGCGCCGGAAGTCCGCCAACGAGAAAGCCTTTCCACCGGAAGTAATTGTTTTGGGTCCGCCAATCGGAGGTAATGCGGAAACTTATTGCGTTTTGTAAATGTGGTTTTCTATCTTTGGGTCCGCCATCTTGCGCTGCATCTGGTCACCTCTCAAGAAGGGACGCAATTACCAAATAAATGAAGCGCAATAAAGCGCTGACGGTAGCAACAGTGATATACTAAAATTCAACGAAATTGGCTGGTTAAAAGAAGCATGGTTAAGTTTTTAAAAAAGTAAAAATAACCTAAGAGGGTCCCCAGTAGCCCATATCGTTTGTACTTTAGAGCAGAGGTAGGAGGAGGGTTTGTGTTGAGAAAGTTTGCCGCGACCTCTCATCGCCTATTTAGTGAAGGGAAAGGAAGAAAACCACCTGTAAGCTCAGATTTCTATCAGAGCAACCCTAAAAAAGCAAGTCATTCAAATAAATGACTATTCATTTTACTGAATATGAGAATTTCACCCTCCCATTTGTCGTACAGCGACACACACCGCCATCAGTCTGTTTGACAAATGTTGCTGACCTCACAAACGGGTAAGTTGACGTTCACCTGTCGCTGTCAACCGATAACTGTCACGTCCTTTAATGTCGACAAATTAGATGAAAAAACTCTTGTTTGTTAACATTTTTCTGTACAGGAGTTGTCTATATTGTCTCAGTCAAGCTGGCGGGAAAATAGAGTTTGTTAGGTTTAGCTTTTAGCTAACTTGTTGTGTCAGCTGGCTGCAGCAAAAGCTAGAAAGACATTATCACTTTCTGCTGTCAATAGTTTTACCTTTATAACTGAAGCGTACTTATTTTTGTGTTCAAACTTAAGCCTGGATTAAGACTGAAAAAGTCACTCCCTTAACTTTGCTCAAGCTTTTATGCTGAGGAACAGGATCTCTGTGTTACTTAATATTTCTAAAGGAAAAAGCCTAAAATATAGTTGAATAAATATACAGGTATATACCGGTAGAAAGGGTTTTTCACCTGAACTCAGTCTACCTCCTGAAGCCTCTTATCAAGCTAGATCCTCCATATTTGCTGCTCTTTTTCTGAGAGTTTTTACTCCAACCTGATCTTCTCATGGTGTGGTATTCTTATGAAGTTTGACATGCTGCACATACATGGTTAGAAGTACTTTCCAGGTATTTTACAGAGTTGAGTGGAATCAAAAACAAGTGTTCATGTCCCTTAATAATTGACAATAACTTTAATGATATCCAATGTTAGTCTTCTATTACAAGACTAACTCCGAATGATCAGACTACCTTTAAAATAGATATTTTATTGCATTATTAGATGTATTTTTTTAGTAACTGATCTAAATGTGCTATATTGATTGACCTCAAGAATTGAAAGCCGCGGGTAATACTCGCTCTCTTCTCTGGCTGCAGGAGAAGCTGTGAAGATCAGTGACATGGCACATGAGGAGCAACCAGAGATCAGCATAAAAAAAAACCAAGAGTGTAAGTCAAGTACATCCATGTATCAGCCAAGTGCATATGTTCTGAGTAAGCTTTGCTTTTAACTTTGAAAGGCTACAGGGTATCTGTTACCCTCGTGTTACTTTAATCTGACTTGATTTAAGGCCATGAAGGTTAAGGTTAGAGAGAACGACAAGAAGTAAACTTTTATCAGTATTGTTTTATAACAATCTAAGTTTACTGTAAAATGTACAAAGTAGTTCAAGTTGAATTAATGTCTTATTTTAACTGCCCAATGTGTCTTCAGCTTGTATTTGCAAGAGCTGAAAAAAAATCTTCATCTCAAATTGTAAAATTAACATGCCTGCAATGTTGCTGCAATGTTTCAGTTCAGGAACAAGACAAAGTTTTATTTGGATGGTAAAGATGTTTTTTTTGTCGTTGCAGTGCTGGTGAAGGCTCAGTTGCTGCTAAAAGACATAGAGGAGCTACTGGACTCTTGTGCATCAGCACAGCCCTCCAACCAGAGACAGGTAAGAGTCACAATCAGAATCCAAATCAGGTTTATTGTGAAAGAGGTTTGCACTTACAGGGAATTTGTTTAGGTTTTTCAGTACAAAAATAATAGACACAGTGGTGGTGTAAGTAGAATAAATACACACCAGTATTCATACTATCAAGAAACTCAGATGGGATCAGATAAAAATACAGGATATATCTATATATATGTATATAGATTATATATATATATAAACCTTCATGATGTCCCACTTCTACTTGACCCCAACAGGCAGCAGTTTGCAGCATGGTCTGGGTCAGTTTACAAAGTGGCAGGAGTGTGAATCCTTTGACATATTTAACCTTAACCACACTATCTTTTGGGAACTGAGTTGTCCACTTTGTTGTATGAAGTTTCCCTTCTTTCCCTGCTGACACTGCAGCTCTAATGTTATAGATTAACCAGAGAGGTATAATCAGTGTAATTTATGTCATCCTGTCTTCAAGGCACATAATGAAACAGATAGGACTATTACATTCACTCAATACTGAGGTCACAAGTGGTCATGTTACAGTAGATCTCAACAGTTGCGTAGCAACACAGCTAATTTGCCCTTTCAGCTGCAGAGCACTTGCTAGAGATGTAAACTGAATTGCCGTCAATGAAGTTGTCAGTTGATGTAGAATTTTTTTATGTATTCCTCAAATTATGTAATTCTCACTGCAAAACAATCAACGCCTCTGAGCATCTCCAACACGGGCTGCCATTAAAGTGATGAAGGGACAAACAGCATTAAGCATTAAATCCTCCAGATCTATTCTGCAAAGTTCCTGAAAGGCCGACAATTTTTTTTTCCTCAAAACATTTGTTCAGAGAGGAAATAATATATTACCCTTAAGAACAACATGCCTCTGAAGCACGGTGCTCTGATTTAGGAGCTGTTATTTTTCTGTCAGTTGATTTACAAGAACCCTGATGGCTCTGTTGATTTAATCCTCACTTGTCGCCGTATTTCTTCGGATTCTGGCTGAGGCCCAGTTGGATGACACTCCCAACTTCAGTTCCATCGACAAAGACTGCAGTTTGTTTTGCTGTTGCTCCAAATGGAAACACAACTATTCATGAGTGGCCTTCTCTTGACAAAATTGGAGATGTAGGCAGTCATCTAAAGGTCTGGGACCATGCTGGCAAAAGAAGTCAGAGGACTGTCTTTGGAAGGCCTCTCTACTCTCAAATATATTTACATATATTTGTAGACATGCAGTTCAAACCCATGTGCCTTCCATCTTTTTATTACAGATACTGCACAGCACCATTTTGAACAGTGATAGATCTACAAGTGACCTTGTTATTATTTGATGTGCTCAGGCATGCTATGCACAGCATGGTCTGGTGTTCATGAAGTGTTTTTGTTGTGACAGATTCAGCAGGAGCATCAGGACAGCACGGAGCAGGACATAGAGACCTTGGTCATGGATGGCATCAGGTTTGAGAGTGCAGCCAGCTGGGAGGACCTGAGGAGGCTGAGTTCACAGGCTGCTGGTGCAGGAGGACGTCAGGGTGACACATGACTGATGGCTACTTTAGTGGTTTCACTGCACAAGGCCAGCAAGGTGAAGCAACTAACAGAGGTAACCGTGGCAGACAAAGAGCTAACATATGACAAATGATGGAGGGGGGAAAACAATTGGCATGTTTCTGTCTTCACAACAGAGCGCTGACACTCTGCTTAATATACACTTTAAAGGTAGATGTTTCGCTTTGTGCTGAATGTTCATGTTGGACATAATTTGCTTGTTGAAAGATGGTTTTGACTTCAGTTAAAAGTTTTAGAATCCAGAGCTACAGTTTATTTTGAGTGTTGTTTGTATTATAGCACCAAGGAAACATCCTTAGAGGAAATATGAGAGGCAGAATGCCATTGTGGAAGGCAACGGTCATGTCCGCTCTTTGTATTTAGCTTCATGTCCAAATAGCATGGTGCATTCTGCAGTTGCAGTAAAGTAATCTGTGATGGTATATACTCTACAGTTAATTCTTTTTTATATCATCAGAGTTGCTGCCTTTTAATACAGTCTGGATCTATTCAGTCTATCTCTATTCAACAAAGTTTGTGGGTTAGATGGGGACATTGCTTTTTCTTTGATTACACAGCGCTGTTAGAGTATTCAATGTGCTTTCTGTTTGTGCCACACTGTAGATCATCTCTGTCCCTGAAAGCCCCTCCATTGCACTGCCCAAAGTCAAGTTATACTGCCCAGCATACTTGTACTACAGTCAGACTAAAGTGTGAAATCGTTCTGACAGTTATATTTTGCTATCTGAAGGTGTTCTGAAGGAGATCTTTTAACCCTCAAATGAAATGACCCCAAGCATAGGCCTTTGACATTATAAATCAGCATAAGTTCGAATTTTTTTGTTCTCTTTTAGGTCCCTATGACTTGCTGTAACTGTGGTTGGAAAACTGGGATTCAAGTCATTTGACACAAATTTTTATTTGTTTTGAACACATTTCATTAAAAAAACAGCATCAACCCTCTGTATTTGAGGATAAATGTCATGATTATTTCTAAAAGGAACTGATTGAATGTGATATTCTTTTTCACATTAAGTACTGGGCAGGAGATAGAGCCGTCGTCCAATAACTGGAAGGTTGGCGGTTTGATTCCCCCCCTATCCCGAGTCTGTCCGTTGTGTCCTTGGGCAAGACACTTTACCCACCTTGCATCCAGTGTGTGTCCTCCACTGCTGTATGATTGTGAGTGTTGTGTGGTGGTGGTCAGAGAGGCCATAGGTGCAAACTGGCAGCTACGTTTCTGTCAGTCTGCCCCAGGACAGCTGTGATGGATGGATCCGATGTAAAGTACTTTGAGGGTCTCTGATAAAGCGCTATATGAAATCTGATGCATTATTTGATGCATTATTACTCACAGCACACTGTTGAACACATTTTAGAACTTTTCCGAGGTTGAGTTAATTCTGCAGCAGAAATGGGAAAAAGAGCATAAAACTATGCAACTTTGATCTGAGTGTGCAAAAGGCAGCCAGTTGCAGTGTCATTAAGAAGAACATGAGTATTAGCTCTTGGTTACCTCATAGACCTTTACCTCATAGTCCCTTTAGTAAACAAACTGTTGACTAAATAATCACCCCAGACTTAAAACGAATAAGTCTTGCCTGGTCATGTAAAGCTCTGTGTGAAATGGAAAAGTAAGCTGTTGTGAATCTAAAGTGAACAAACAAGACCTGCCAGTAGATTAACAAGTGTCAGAGCATCAATGTAACCAATTAACAAACTCCCAATTAGAATGTCTGCTCTGTGATTAGGCCCAGAAGTTTACCAAGCATTAACATACTAAACAGACCAACATAATATATGCAAATAGGGTCATTATTATGCATGTGCTAGTTCACTGCCCAAATGAAGTGCTTGTTTGGAGCACACAGGATGTGTTTGCAAGCCAGAGCTCTATGACAGCATATTACAGGAATAATGGTCACTTGAAAAATCTTTTTCAATTTACATTTGGCTGTGAGCTTCAGCATCCACTGGAACCCCAACGGCAGCCTAAATCAATTCTGGTAACCCATTTAAAGCTACAGCGAGTGAGAAATCATTTGTATTTTAAAGAGAGAGGCTTAAATAATAAACAGTGTGGACACAATGATAGTGCTAACACACACACCCACACACTTAACTCACAAAAAGAAGACTTCTGCAATCAGACTAAGAGTCAGAAAAAGTGGAGAAGCATTCAGCAGATGCTGAATTAGTAATGACAGAAGTTTGCAGGCTGGCTGTGTTGATTGTCAGATTTTTGTCCTAAAGTGCTGCATGAATTATTGATGTTACAGCCTATGTAATTAGATGTTGATGAGAAAAGACTGGACCAGGAGAAGTCAAGCTCTTGCTGTTTCTTTGGAAATGATTAATCAGTTGCTTAGCCCTTAATCATTTTTGACACTTTTAGGACTCTGGACCTCTTCTAAAAGCGACGGCCACACTCACAACCTCCTCACAACTCCTTACAGCAGATTGACTCCGCTGTGCCGTGTGGTATTTTTCTGGTTTGTGATTGAAGTTGTGGTTCGATGCTCTGATCATCTCAAGCCTGTTTTAGATATAAACATCTGTTGCCCATAAATCTACATAAATGAAACTGTGGATGCTTGTTATTGTCACTTTACACCAGAAGAGGGCGCTGTTTCTCTGGTATTTGGTTGCACTGGTCTGTAAGGTGATAATAGTTTGTGAGAGTAAGACATCCAAAGACATATGAAACACACTGTAACACACTCCAGAGATGACAAAAGGCCTATGGTTTAACTCTGTAAATTGTCTTTCACCTCATTATATGAAAAAATTGATCAAATTAGTTTGTAATACAGATTTTTTGTGTACTCACCTTGTCTTTTGGCAGAGGATTCACCTGCCATTAATCACCAGAGAGACATGTTTGGGTGTTGGGAGTCACAGTACACCCTCTATGATCCCCTTCTCCGCAATATAACACCCCATCAAGTACAACTGCACTGCTGCAGTTAAAGTTTAGGAGCAGTGATGCCAGCAGTACGGTCATACATCACACTGCTGTCTCAGAGTTGTTTCACACTGCTGAACTAAACTGCTGCAGCACAAATTACACCTAGAGTCGACATAACTCCAGTATTTTTCTCCCTCTGTTTCCAAACACTGGGGAAGTTTGACAGCTGTGGATTGCCATGATGTGGCGAAGACTTATTGCCCATCAAATGCTTGTCAGGCTGCACTGAGAGGAATGTTGTCAGAAACTTTTGTTGGAGGCAGACTGGATTTTGACAAACACTTGATGAGAAAATGGCTAAACCAAAGATTGTATCACAGGTTTGTGCATTTTGTGTGGGGCTCGTACCTTTGCGAAAAGGTTCTTGGCAATCCACTGGGAGTTTTTGTATTGTGCTTTAAACCCGAAGAAAAGAGCCTGCTTACCGATTCAACACAGACCCTGAAACTGTGCCACGTAATCAAGAACTGGCCTTTTTTAGACAACGTGGGGGTCAGCCATATTCAAGGCCCCCTGTATATGTGTTGGTACAGCAGAAGACATCCCTGTAGACTGGGAGAGTGTAGCTGCAGCAGGGCATCCAAGGCCCTTCCTTTGTTTTTGCTGAGCCAATTAGAGAGAGATAGCATCTGCTATGAAGGGAGAACAATGGCTTGTTCACTGTGTGTTGGAATACATGTGTGTTTGGAGAAAGTTTGTGTGTGTATGTCTGTGGGCTAGTTAGTGAGTCTGTGTGTGTATGTGTGTGTGTGTGTGTGTGTGTGTGTGTGTGTGTGTGTGTGTGTGTGTGTGTGTGTGTGTGTGTGTGTGTGTGTGTGTGTGTGTGTTTCTTTAGCTACTGTACATATACTAGCATGTGGAATATGTGTTGTGAATAGAAATGAGAGGGGGGGGGGTGTTGTGTAAAGCAGTGAAGAAACAAGAAAATGACTGGCTACAAAGTATGACAGACAGCATATGGCTTCATCTGCTGTGATTTAAACTTCTCTCTCTCTCTCTCTCTCTCTCTCTCTCTTTCTCCCTCTCTCTCACACACACACCACACACACACACAGGAAATCACCAGAGGGGCAAATATAAATTAAAAAGACTTCCTGCATTTCTGCGCTCAGGCACATACAATGCCTATAATTAAAAAGTCACTGCTGTTGAGTGACACTCGGGCTCACACTCACACTAAGTTTGTGTCCTCGCTCCAACTTCTGAGAAACTTTTTGACAGGAAGTGCAGTGATGATTTCACAGCATGCCGTAGCACTCCATCTCTCCAAAGGACCTGGAGGTCATTAACCCCTACCCGCTGCTGTCTTGAGCTGTGCAGAGTTTGATGACTCCTCTTTTCTGGCTAAGGAGTGAAAAGAGCGAGGTAGTGATGATCAGTGAGTGTGTGTGTGTGTGTTTAGCAGAGCTAGCTAGCACCCCTGGCTTGGCCAGCCGGCTCCACCATATGGCCACATTTATCATGTATCTCACTATTCATTAAGACTGCCCTTGCTGGCTGCAGAAGCACTGCTGGGGGCCTAAACTTCACCTCAGAAACACTGCGGACGACTGACTGCAGTCCACTGTAATTTTGGGTGTGAATGCTGCAAATTTATATAATTATATCCTGCCGGACCCTGTGAACCAAAGGTTATTTTGCACCAGAGGAAACATTGATTAAACTGCAGGTCTTATTCAATTATTAACCATAGTAATATAACACTTTATTATGCCTAAATGTGTAATTTGTGTTTGAAAGCCCTGCATGGATGCAGAGATCAATTGTCTGTGTACAATCTCTCACAGTGTGCAGTTCCCCCATACTGCGTGTCATATTTTAGTGACACCACAAACAAAACCACACTCTGATTGCAGAAACAAAAAAGAAAAAAGAACCTTCTGCATTTTTATTATAAAGATGCTGCTGTGTATTTATTTATTTTGGACTTTTATTTAAATGAACTCATCTCCTTTGGCTGCTCTGAGACCTATTAAATAACCTTAGTCTGTGGTATTGCTATGTTGCAATTAAATGCAGTTTTTATCTCCAAACAGTCAAACTTCTGCATTCATGGCACACTCGATGATGAATGTTGTTTGTTAAACATGTCAAAAACAACATTTTTTAGTCTTGAATTTAAACTCTCCTCGAGCCTGAGAGCAATGTCAGTTAGACTCAAATCCTTCCACTTTAATCACAACGTTGCGTGTCACAAGATGGGCAGAAATGTACATTTAGACATGAAGTATTAATGGATGCTTTCCTCCTTGGTATACAAATAGTGCTCTGATTGAAACATCAGTCTTGTTCCCGGAGCTAACTTTGGCAGAGCAAAATGATTACCTGAGCGGGGGAGTTTGCAGTTTGATTTGCTTTCCGTGCAGCGTGTCAGACTGTATTTACACAGTGCCTCATTTCTGATGTTCTTCTTCTTGGTTTAGTTCTTTTGCTAGAATCTGGATTTTTACTTTTCCTGTTTGAAGACAGGGATGTGAAACAGGACTGACAGTGATACCCCAAAACCTTTGCTGTTGAACAAGATAATAGAAAACATTACTTCTGGTGCAAAAGCTGAACTGGAACTCTCCCTGGTTGTCTGTTGTGGATAGGGGTGTCGCGATACAACTTTTTTACCTCCGATACGATACCGATATTATAGCCTTCAGTATTGTCAGATATCGATATTGATTTGATATTGGCACAAAATTGTGTATGACAAGTTTTGCAATGTCTTTTTTAGACACAAATGAAAAATACTGCCACAGGACCGACATCACTCCTTCTCCTTGGTAGTACCTTAGTACACACTGTTGTTGTGATCACGTGGGCTCTGCATGCTGGATCTGGTTGCTGCTAGATAGAGGTACTGGAGGGTAGTCTGGAATGGACTGCTTGAATTGGAGCGCTGATATCGGAGATTTTAGATGCAGGCCGATATAATCTGATATCAGATTTTTTGCTCATCCGACCAATATCAATATCATATCAGGACACCCCTAGTAGTGGAGTTTATACTTCTGTGTGTGTGTGTGTAGTTATTTCTCACATCTTTGTAACTGTTAGTTATTTTTGTCTTTTTTAAACTTATTGTTTACTAATTAAACATTTTGAAAAACAAGTACTGAAGTTGATGAGTTGATATGCTATAGCATAGCTGCATAACAGTTTTCCTTTCCTTTTCATGTAACGAACTTTAAGAAGTCTGTGGTCTCTGAAAGAAATGTGGTTTTGAGGAGCTTTAGTATGTGTCTCTTTGTGAATATGTACCAGACAAAACAGGTGGGAAGCTCAAACCTCACTCTGATCAAATGTTTACTTGTTGAGCATCCATCTGCTGACAGCCTCCTCACTGGCAACAATTTGAAACTATCAGCTCAAAGAATCTGCAAAAGTGTCAGACAGAATTATAATGGGTGTAAAAAAAAGGTGATTTTCTGGTTACTCTTCCTTTGTTAATGAAATATAATTCTGGTGGGAAGCATTTCTATCATGAGACTTTGCGCAAGAGGAAAAAATTGACGAAATATAAGAAGTCTAGAGACTAAACCTCATTGTGACATCAGTGCTTAATGGATAAGCACACCATGGGCTTTGTATTTACATCTACCGCAGTGAGGTCTAGACAGCACTGGTGTTGAAGAATGGAGGAACTGTGAGCCTCGCTGGAGATCCAGATAAATGCGATCTGGACAGGATGTAAGATGAGCTCATTGGACACCTGGTTCTCATGAAAACAAGCTCTGAAGGGGTAGACAAGCTCAGCTGCTTCAATCCAACGCTTTAATAACAGTCAAGTGTTAAAAGTTGGCTTCTTCATGCACCTAAAAAGGATGTTCCCACAGACTCTGTTGTGAAAGGCTTTATTTGGATCAACAACTTACCACCTAAAACATCAAGACTGTGATATGAAGGTCTGTATTATCAGGAGTGTATTGAGGGATGTATTATGAAGTATAAGTCAGAAAAGATACGGCAGTTTTATTATTAAATTTTACCATTTAAAACACAAGGTGCAAAAGTTTTCTAACTGATCAAACTAATGCAGTTAATTATTTTTTGAGTGGTTAATTTGAACGTCACTTGAGGAGTTTTATCACGTTTCTTTTGGTGACTCCTGTTGAAGCTCATTGCTGACCCTTTCCTGTAGGGCTGGGCGATATACCAAAAAATTACTGATACCCAAATTTACAAAAATAACCATTTTGCCCATGTCAATATATTTTGTGTCACAAAAAATGAATAAAAGTTGGTTTTAGATGTGTGTAGGTAGGCTATGGTCTCATGTCCCTTTTAAGACGCTGTCCTAGGTCAGATACGTGACTCCACCCCATCCAGTCTGTAACAAAGAGGGAAAGACAAGGTGAGGAGATGGAGGACGGTTCAAAAGCTGTAGCGGCTGGAGCAAAGTAGACGAAGTCAATGTGGGAGGGGGTGAGCAACATGTGGAGTAGTTATCGTCCATTTATCGTTATCCAGGTAAAGTACTTAATATATTGTGATATTGATTTGAGGCCATATCGCCCAGTCCTACTTTCCTGTACATGATTGTGTATTATTCTTTGATAAAGTTCCCTTTCTGTCCTTTAAGGGTGCAACAGAAACCATGTGTCAAACATTTGGAGTATGGAAAATGCCAGGCACTTCTGGTTCATGTGCTGGTGATTAGTTTTGTCAGATGTCAAAGATAACTTCATATTTACTGTGTTTTCTGCAGAAGTACGCGCTGTACCTTAGCTTCTGTGTATGTATCACACTCATTATTGAGAAGAACAACAGCTCGGTTAAAACCCCACTTTCCCCCTCTACAAACTACCTTAAAAACTAAAGTTGTTTATTCGAGGACTGCGCTGGGACGGTGAGCCAAGCTTCTGTTTCTGTTTCTCTCTGTTAAGCATCAAACCATCAAACACCAAGCTTGACTGAACTGCCCTCAGAAAATCACAGACAGTTGTTGTGCCTGTCATTTTTATCTCTGGAAGAAGTCTCTGAATTTCTCCCTCTGTGTAACACACTTGATTTTCCTCTTGTCCTGCCTGTCCGTCTTCCTCTGTCTCTTCTTGACGGTTTGACAGCGTGGCAGCAGTGGAGAGACGTCTTCAGTCTTGTTGGGGGGGTGGGGGTGTCAACAGGAGTGAGATGTCTGTCTCGTCGTCACTGATTGTCTTGTGTGTGGGTCTGGGTGTGCCCGTGTTTGTGTGGATTTCGATGCTTGTGTGTGGGTTCTTCAGGTGTGCAAATGTTTTGAACGTTGAATTGTTTCAGTGCGCCCTCTTTTGAGGTGCTTTGCATGATTGTGTAGGCCTTTGCATTGTCACTAGATTTCTATAGTTGTTGTGACAGTATGTCACCCCATGGAAGCATCAAAGGAAGAAGCTTGTCTTTCTCATTATTCTCTGATTACAGAAGCTTTGATGATATAGCACAACCCAATATTTTACATGAATTATAAATAGTGTGGATTTTTATAGGCTACAAGAACACTTGACTTGCAGTAAAGGGTATAGAGATAGGATTTGAGCTAAATGCTGTACTTCAGAGCATTAAACACAGCTTGATACTCCTAAAGATTTTATTATGCTAGCTGCTTGCTGCGCAGTAACAGTCTTTAGTGTTTTTCTTTCTGATTGCCTTTAAATATGAATTCCTCCCATGCTTTCGGGTGCATTTGAGGATTTGCAGAATCAAAGACGAAAAAGAAGAAGTGTGCTTCAACAGTTGGCATTTGAAACAATACTTTAATAGTTCATGCTTTTAATCCCTTTACCTGGTGTGCTGCTTTCCTCTTTCTGGTGGATTGTGTACTCCCTCTCATGTATAAGCTTCAAAATTCTGCAGTGTAACTCCTAAATGCTACCATTGAGAGAGACCATATCTTCTCTGGACTGACCTTTCTATACTTGCAACCAGTAGAGTTAAAAAAATAGATTTTTGGATTCTTGTATTTATTTTTGAAACCCTGCATGGACTGTGGAGCACATCTCAGAATAACTCACCCTCTATTCCACCTCAGAGCTGGCCGTTGACTGCTCTCTGTGCCACATAGTAAGTCGGAGCCCGAAACATTAAGCTGTTTCAGTCGTTAGCCCAAACTCGTTTAACACTTACAACATCTCCAGTAAAACCTGTTTAAAGCGTATCTCTTTTCTTTAGACTCTAAGCGGTCGAGACAAAAGCCCGGCTATTACGTGTTGTAATTTATTGGTTTTTGTTGTGAATGTGAAAAATGCTCAAATGAATGGACTCATTTCCTTTTCTTAATATCTGTCTTTTTTTCTTCTTCATGTCTGTTTTTCTCTGAAAAGCTCTCACATCCTCCTTTATTGTCTGTGAATGTGCTCCATAATGAATTGATATTATTTGGCTTTTAAGTCTCATTGTAGTCTAGGTAATGTTCACATGTCCGTCCACAGCAGCTCTCTTCTCAGGGAGGATGAAGAGTGAGACCTGGTTCCATTAAAAACCTGGTTCAGCATGTTTCAAAACCAGAAGATCAATAACGTTTAAGCTTATCGAGTCTGCTATCAAGTCTGTGCAAAGAGGTCCAAAATGTGGCTACATTTCACCAAAGCTGAAGTGAAAGTGAAGTGAAATGCAAATAAATTTCTTGCGAGGGGGAAACACAACCTCAATGGCCAAGCACATCAGCATTGTACATTAAATCAAGCCCAAATGCAGAACCTTTGATTGTCATCCTCCTCCTCCACCTAAAGCAGCCAGGGAAGGAACACCCAGACTTACTGCAAGTCATTATCCAATGGTGAAATCAAAGTTAAAATCAGCAGGATATATGCTAGGTTGCTAACTAACCGATATGACCTCTGATTGCATTGTGAGGTGTTCAAGGTCAAGTAAGTAAAAAGAGAATGAAGTAAAAGTAAATAATTCATTATCATGTTGTGTTCATATGTCACTTTCATAAAAATAAGCCTGTACAAATACATCTGTTTAGAAGATCTGTATAAGTATATATTACAGATGGAATTACAACCTGATAGACTTACCAACACAAGCGCTCATGACATCAAGTTAATGTATTAACTTAGGTTCAGGAGCAAGGCCACGCCTTCACCACACCTCCAATCACCTGACTAGCCTACATATACACATCCATCCCAATACACTCTTGCTGCGTCCGAATTGCCAAGTAGTAGTCGAAGTAGTATGTAGCATGTCCGAATTGGCCACCGGAGCGAGTAGCATGCTACTTCAGATACTACTTTAGGTACTAGACACACCCACATTGTAGTATGGTCGCAGTGCATCCTACGGGCATGCTACTAACCCAAAATGCACCGCGGGCTTCTTCTTCGTCCTCTTAAAAGTTGTAGAAGCACATGTGATGCTAGCGCCACCAGCTGCTGCCTATTTAGATGCAGCAGCAGGCGGGACCGCAGCAGTACAGATGTAAGTCTCGTGTAACTTCACGCACTATTCTAAAAAATGTGCGGTTGTATCTCTTTGTCATGTCATGGTGTCATATTTGCCTAAGTAATCATTTTATGAGCAAATATGTGGCGACATCATGGAGGTAAAGCTCACTTATTCCATCATTAAACTGCACAGCTGCAGTAATCAGGCAGATCTCATTGAACAAACGATCATCACTTGCACAATTACCATTCAAAGAGTCTAAAACTGTCTGCACGGGCGCAGTACTTACTCTCTGCCTGCGGGGGTCGTCTTTCCCCACCGCTCGTCTAGTGTGTCCGAATTGGGCCAACGTGTTTAGTATGTAGGAGTAGGATCTAGCAGTATTATGTAGCAGTAGTATGTGGTATGCGAGCGGGCAATTCAGATGCAGCATCTGTTTTTCTGCCTCCCTCTTCAAAACTAATGCTTCTACCACCTTCCTGGTCTGCCTCTCTCTGATCTCAGTCCATTTTCAGGTACAGTCTGAGTTGGACTAAGCTCGGGCAGAACAACGCCTGAGATGGAACCCCCATCCTGAGTCTCTCCCTGCCGGGCCTCTACAGAACCTCCCAGACCTACAAGACATTCAACACTCCTCATTAGCCTCATCATCCATCACATCATACACACAACAAAGACATACACTTTCCCACATTCATATTAAATATTCAAACGTACATCACTGTGGCGTGGTCATTGCTAGTGAACTTGGGGTCACAGAGTCTTGCTCCACTTGATCTCAACAGTGATGGCTGTAGCTCCTTTAGCTTTTCTTATGTTTGTACCTGGTGGTAACAGTCATAGATTCCTGACATAAAAGGTAACAATTATGTGCCACAATGTTTACTAATGTTTGAAATGCCAAAGCTAAATGTTTTTAACACAGTGTAACTGGCAGAGGTCATTAAGCTGGACTTCTTTATGCGGACTGATTTGGTATGACTTCTGTGATCAGTGTATCTCTAGCGTTGCTTTTGCTGTCAGGAATTAATGACTGTTGCTGCACGTTTTTGATGAAGTACAATCACGTATCTAACACGTGGAATAAAAACAAATTACAGCTACACTAGAATGTTGTCTGCTGCTGCATAAAATATCCTGTCTTACAATAAAAGTCCAAGTTTTATCAAGAAAAAAAATATCTTTTAGGGAGTTAGATGGCCAAGAAAGCAGCATTAGTAAAGCCTTTATTCATCCCACGGTGGGGAAATGGCAGCATTAACAGCAGCAGAGGATCAGCATAACAAACATAGGAGAATAAGAACACTCATCGTGCATACAGTGCAAAGATAAATATAAAAAGTTAGTTAGGACTTAGGTTCAATATCCATGCAGGCCAATAATTTCATGCTGTGTTTGTTGAATCTTTTTCCACCCTAGCCCCTTTGTTTGATAGCTTTTTTACACCCTGAATAAAATTTTAAATCCCCTTCAGGTGTTGCAAACAGCAGCACCAAAATGACATTTTCAACAATGCAGTTGGCTTTCTCATACAGGTGCACCATGAATAATTAGTCGCCAATGGGAAATGGTGTCTGGATTCTCAAAAGCGCACTCAAATGCCACTAATGCACCAGTACAAAGCATAACAGTCTTTGGTGTTCTGCTGAAGAAAGATGTGACAGGAGGGACTTTGTAGTCACACAGCAGAGCAGCTTGTACAGCTCTGTTGTTGTAAATCTAATAGCAGTTTTCATATCCTCTCCTTCTTCTTGGACTCGTTTTTTATGAAGGTTATTATTTTTATTAGTGAGACAACTGCACCTCATATTGCACAGAGCTTTGTTTATGCTCAGCTATTCCACTCCTGGCTTCAATGTAGGGGGGGTTAAAAAATAACTGTACTGTAATTTGATTTGTACTCAGGCTTTTGTGCTCAACATGATGAAAGCACGACAAAGCAACACAGTTTAGATCAGATTTTTAATTGATACCGGGAAAGGAGGCAGTCATTTAAGCCGACAGTCATACAGCTTTTATTTGGAAAAAATAATGCTGTGTCAGGAGTCAGAGTATGAAGCCAGAGCTACTGAATAAGCAGATATATTTGCATTGAAATTACAGATTCTAAGTGCAAAACTCTGCACATATTTCCATAGAACTACCGTCTTCTCCTGCAGAATAACCTTTAATATTCAAGTGTCAAGCTGTGCCTATACAGAGAAGCAGCCTGCGAAGTGACATGCAACAGTATATGAACAGGCAGAGCCAAAGGATGTGGGGACAGAGATAAGAGTGAGAGAGAAACCATGACCTCAGCGTTTTAATGACAGACTTGATCACACACACACACCTTTGATGAGAAAAGAGGCTCTTATTACTGCAAGGAGGGAAAACCCTGTGAGGGGTTACCAGCGTTCTGAAAATAATAAACTAATCAGATTTTATGTGTGTCTGCAGGGGTTTTCAAGTGCTGTGGAAATTCCCTGGTCCTTGTTTTTCGATCGGTGGAATTACCCCTCGGGACACCTGATGCCTCATAACATGTCTAACATACACACAGACACACACAAAGGTCTCGTCAAACTGACAGAGGATTATTTGTCTGCTCGTGTCTCTCTGGTCAGAGGCTTGTTGTCGTGTCGGGGTCTCAGACGTGCTCCTATATGTCAGACTTGTATGACATGTTTCGCTAAATCCACCTGCTTTCAGTCTGATGCTCTTTCTGTTGTCAGGTCTCCTTTCTGTTTCAGTTCAGAGGCAAAAAAGAAAACACCTAATTCAACACCTGCTGTTTGTATCCTAAACAGTCATCTTGAAGCTTCTGTGAGAAGTAATAAAGCTGACTGAAATTAGTTCTGATACCTATCAGTGATCCACAAACAAGATCGTCAATTTAAGATTGTTGGAGAGATTGGGTTTTTCCCATCACTCTGTAAATACAGTTGATTATTACCTTTTCCATCACATATGAGTGATTGTCTTTGGTCATAAAACACCACATTAGATTAAGCAAAGAGATAAAATATGTCACTTTGTCCACAGGGGTCGTCAGAATCTCACTGACCCAGGTTCCTTGCAGGAGCTTTACCATTTATCTGGATGGTTTAAAATAGAAATGTGATTGTTTTTGTTTTTGGCAGCCTTATTTATTATTACAATGACTGTAAAATCCACATTCTAATTAAAAAATGGTGACACGGTAGCTACACAACTGTTAGGTTAGGCAGTGATTATAAACCCAGTTGGTTGACGGTGGTGGGTGTTGATGTTTGGTATCATCTGTGGTTGTCCACAGCTCACTGGGAGAAATGAGAGCTGATTCTTTGTTGTTCCTCCTGTGAGTGCTGTGCATTTCTTAAATAAGTTTAGCTTTTGTTGATGCTCAGTAAGACTCAACTTTTTTTTCTTTGATAGGACAGCTGAAAAGAGACAGGAAATGTTGGAAGCACACTGTTGGACAACTTGCATCAAAGAGTCATGGTTTGGGAGTAAAACCAATGACTGCATCAAGGACTACAGCTTAGGCCAACTGGCTTTGAGGGCTGTTAAAATACCAAAGTCAGTCCCTCTCCTTTTTGCTGTTTACATTTTTTAAGGGGTTCAAATATAAATAGTTAAATATTTGAGCTGTGGCAAAACAACCACTAAAACCCACATGGAATCATTTGTGAGCATTGTATTCAGCATCATGTGAATTAGTGTTCATGTGTGGTGGAACGATATGCCTGTTGTGCCCATAAAATCCTCCTTTGAACACACGCAGCTACATATGGGCGTGTGATCTAATGCTGATTCTATGTCATTAAACGCCTCAGGCTTTTAAATGTTTTCAAGCCTATTTCTATATGGGGCCCCGATCAAAGGCAGCTGCAGGCGCCCTGCTGGCACCCTCACACAGACACCGTGGATGGGAGTCTGATATTTTCCAGGCTGGGCTAATTGTCTCTGGGGCTCAGTTCTCTACTCTCTGGTTGCAGTTGGACTTTGCCCTGTTACATGATGCAGCCATGGGTCCCTGGGAAGGCTCTAATGAAGAGTTATGAGAAGTGGGATGCCTCTTGGCTGCAGAGAGAGGGATGGAGGGAAGACACAGAGATAGAAGAAGGGAGTGATGCGGAGAAGAGTGAAATGCGATAGGAAGATTGGGGAGTGGAGAGGAGGGAGACGGCACGCTGTGAGGCAGTGAGATGGATAGAAGGTATGTGAGGAGAGACCTCTGGAGGAAACCCAAGCTGGACAAAAGCCTCTTACTGCAGTACACGTCAATGCAGGCAACATTTACTCGACACACTATACATGCACTGCCACGTGTCTCGTCAATAGAAGGAGATCATATAGGTTTGTGTAAGTGTTGTGAAAATGAAGATATTATCTCACTGAAGTCTGAACTTTTACATTGTTATCTAGGGAGATGTTTAGTGCTCTGTAACTAGAACAGAACTGCAGTATTTGCATTTTTATGTAGCATAAGGGGCCCAAGCCTGCTGGCCAGCATTACAGTTTTACTGTCCTCCAGAGTGCGAACATGAATTATCTTCCGGTTGTACAAGTTGTGTTTATGTCGTCTCTTCCTCAAGGTCTGTCTGCATCCGACAGGGTATATTTTTCTTCTGTCCCTGACTCTCTTTTTCTTCCTGATAAATATCTGCTTGTACAGTGATTACATTTGTGAATGTTTAAATCTGGGAAGCTTCTTTTCTGCTGCTTGTATATCTTGTTCTTGCTTACTTTTCCTGTTTGTGTTTGTGGGAGGCAAGTATCTAGCTTTCACCCTGACCCACTGTGGGTTTTCTGAACAACATCTGAAAGATTAAAAGGAAATCTCAGGATTTATTTAGTATCTGCCTGTTTCCAAACCACTTACGGCACAACATGGCGCTGCATAATTTAGCTGAGTTAATCAAAGTGTTATCTCAAGTTTGTGATTTTGAGAGTCACCTTTCGCTCAAGAGAGAACCTGAAAAAAAGGTGTGTGTAAACACTGAACCAGTTGACACATTGCACAAATGTGTTCCAATGCAGAAAGTTTTGGAATCCTAGAAATTAAAAGTTTGATTCACTGAGGACCAAAAGAAGATAATCAATCATCAGCCATCTATAGTGAAACCTCATCTCACTAAAAAGTGCATTATTATGTGTGCGTTTTCATGAGTCACTTCCAGATAAGCCTCAGAAATAACCTGCTGACAGTGACTTAATTGTTGTATTGCTGATTGGAAAATCATATTGCACTGTGACACTACATCACCAAAAACCAATCACATCCTGTGGGGCTTTGGTCAGGAAACAGAACACACAATGTAAGGAAACTCCACTTATTTCCAGGAAGTTTCTTACTCAACACTTTAAATACACAAAATGTACTATCGCTATAATGAGGTACTACATGCTCAGTGTAGACAGCTATCCCATCACACCCTCATACCAGTATTCTTTACTGATAAGTTGTCCTGCATGTTTTGGATGTTTCCCTGCTCCAACACACCTGATTCAAATGATTAGCTCGTTATTAAGCCATTACAGAGCTTGATAACGAGCTGATCATTTGAATCAGGTGTGTTGGAGCAGGGAAACATCCAAAACATGCAGGACAGTGGGCCTCGAGGACTGGACTTGAGAACCACTACTCTACTCCATCATCTCAAGGAGAGAAAAGAGAAAGACCAAAGAGTCTAAAGCATCATGTTCGAAGGT